GTGGTGAACTCATCGGCAAAGGAACGTATGGTCGTGTATATCTTGCCCTTAATGCCACTACGGGCGAGATGATTGCTGTCAAGCAAGTTGAAATCCCCGTAACCGCCAGTGACAGAAAAGACAACCGTCAAATGAGTTTCGTACAGGCACTCAAAATGGAGAGCGAGACATTGAAGGATCTCGACCATCCTCACATCGTGCAGTACCTTGGATTCGAAGAGACACCGACGTTCTTGAGCATGTAAGTGCCGCGGAAACCATCTTCGATAATACACTCATTTGTGTGTTCAGTTTCTTAGAATACGTGCCCGGAGGCTCGGTCGGAAGCTGTCTGCGAGACCATGGCAAATTCGACGAGGAAGTTACAAAATCGTTCACTGGACAGATTCTTGAGGGTCTGGAATATCTACATTCCAAGAACATCATACACCGAGTAAGCTTCATCTACGATTGTTTCTTCGTACCTCATTGTCTTGCGTAGGATTTGAAGGCAGACAACATATTGGTGGAGAAAACAGGGATTTGCAAGATCTCTGACTTTGGAATTTCGAAACGCACAGACGATCTTAATGGAATGGCTTCTACGGCAATGCAAGGCACAGTTTTCTGGATGGCACCGGAGGTCATACATCCCCAGAAAAAAGGCTATAACTCCAAAATCGACATTTGGAGCGTTGGCTGCGTCGTCCTCGAGATGTGGGCAGGGAAGCGGCCATGGAGTGATGATGAAGCTATAACGGTCATGTTCAAGGTCCGTTTCATCGTATATTGTGCAAAGTGCGGTGCGCTCATGACTTTGCCACAGGTATACCAGAATAAGCAACCCCCGCCCATACCTTCCGATGTAGTCCTGTCCGAACTTGCAAAAGACTTCAAGGACAGATGTTTCGCAATGCAAGTGTTGTGATTTACTGTCTTGTCTGTTGTGCTCACGGACGATGCTTAGTGATCCGGATGAACGCTCGAGCGCTGCGGACCTTCAGCTACACCCATACCTGGAACTTCCAGAGGGCTGGATATTCAATGATTTTAAGTAGGACCTCATTTGAACATTATTTTTCAACATCATTTCCTATATCACCATTTCTTATCGCATTTACTCTCATTTGTCCCAATCGCGCATCTTTCTTTGTTGTTTCGCATGCTGTTTCATAATGACCATTATAATTTTTTTGTACTTGTGGAGGGTGTGCTCATACATAATTACTTCACGTATCTGAGTTGACTTGAACTGTGTGATTAGAGTTTGATGCCCTCATAAACGACAAGTGTTCCTGGCCTTGACCTGATTTCCGCAGTATTTAGAATTCGAGATTTTGATTCAAACCCGGAGTGTCGTCTCACACCTCGTCGTAATCTAGAAGTGCTTTACAAACCGTAGACTGTACAAAAGGCACATGTAATAAGCGACGCTTACAAGATAGTCACGGAATTAGATTCTTAGAAGGCTCGTTTAGGTGTTTTGAAAATGTTTCAAATTGAACAACCAGGGTACCCCCTTCTAGATATCACTTCAGAAAATGTACATGCGAACTTGTAAAACACCGATGTTCGACGGCAGCACGAGGACATTCTAAACACTGCCGGAAGTTATCCATTTCCGAGTTGCGGAACGCTGCATGATCAGAAATGGAACAGCCGAAGTGACGGAACGTTGGCTCAAATACATTTTCAGCGTTTTGGTGACACGACCTGTGAACACTGAAAATATGGCACCAATGTGTCGGGCTCGAGAAAACACCGAAACTTGCTGCTAGTCTTCTAGTGCCTGTGTGTGTGCTAGATCGACGCACGGTAATGCCCCAGTTTTCTTCATCGATTGTGACCAGAAAACGACTATGGGGTGTCCCCTTTCAAGCTTGACAAGGAAATGTGAGGATTTTTTTTAGCGAGACCATGACACCGGCGGAGCACGTTTGGGCCCTGCATCATCATTCTAGGAACCTGGGTCCTGGTCTACGATAGAGTGGACCAACCCTGCTGTGAAAACAATATATAAGCTCAAGGTAAGCTTTCAAGCTGACTTCTATGGAATGCACATGCGCGACGTAATCTGAATTCAATTATGAATTGTTAGAAATGCTGAACTTTCTGGAATAGTTCAACGAACATCCCACTAACCGGAGGGCTGGCTCAAGAAGTGTGCGAGCGAAATTCAAGGAGATCTTGGAGCTCAGCGAAGCGATATTTATCGCACTGACGAGGCGGTTATATGGAGCATTTGTCACTATTTGGTTGAAATAATATATTGTTCAAGGCAGAAGACTGCAAGTGCTAGCTGAGTGCCAGTCTTCCAAAGCTTGCCTTGCAAGTAAGTCAGAAAAAATGGCTCACAGCGTCGCAATGTGATACTCTTCCTCTGCTCTTTCCCAGGTTAGCGTCACACCGTGATGCATGCAATCCCGAATTTCTGCTGCATGCTGTGCCAAAGGCTGCGCTTTTGCGCCTAGAGTTCAAGGGGCGCGTCCTTCAGGTGCAGCGCTCTGCCATGATGTCCCCGGGATCCCGAAGGACTGCTCTCTAGGAGGCTGGATATGGATATGAGCATATACGAATAAAAGGGCGGCGGTGTGCATTAGGGTTACTTTTGAGCTCATCATTGTCCGGGTGCGCGTACAAGGTGGAGGCGGTGGTAAGGAGTGTATGCCTGTAGAATCGGCGTTGTCGAAAATTGTTTGGAATTTCAAGTAAAAAATTGATTGTTCGGTACACAAGTCGAGCCTCGCTTAGCAACTTGTTTTCGACTACACCGTTCAATCTTGGGCTTGTATCGAATCCTGCCCCTACATAATGGCATCCTCCAAGGTATGTTTCTTCTCTTCTGACTGGAACCAAGACTGGCCATATATCATTTGCCTTCTATAATGCCGAGCACTTGAGAGTACTCGATAAAGCTCGATGCGCTGTGGGGACTGGAACAAATCCTTGCCCTTGGCCCACATTCCGAATAACCTGAAGCAAATTGCAACTGACGAGGACGAGCTACCCACGCTATTCGACCTCAATGAGTCCGAGAAATACCTCAAGTTAACAAGGACAGGCGATCTATTGATACTCAGAAACAGCTTCTCAAGCTGATTGTTGTCGTCTAAAGAGTCGCTCTCAGAGGGTCGACAATGCACTTATTATCCCATATGCAGATTATCTCATTCAAGTTGCCACCTGATGCGATCTTGCAGTGGCCGTATGAAAGAGTAAGTATACACTCCGCCTTCCTCCGTCTTGATTTGGCGCGCCTGAGTTTCGGGCTCTCTGCGTTTTGAATGAGCATTCTTCTACCGTTTAATCCATGGAGACTGGCATGAGGGAGACCATACTGTCCTGCCATGGCCGATCCAAACCTTTCCATCATTTCTCAATCAGTCATTCATTGAACGTTTCTCCTCTAGCATGCTTGCTGTCTGCTGACAGCATCAGTCCCAATATACTTCCACCCGTACTTTCCACGGTTCACCAATAACAGGCCCTGTGTTGTAGGTCCAATTCCGCATCTTGCCACCGCTCACGATGTGTGCGCTACCGTGCAAGGATACGAGAATCCTTATAGAGTTCTCATTTCCCTGGAATCCGTGATTCAGACTTGGTCTTTCGGTTTGCACCAGCAGTGATGCTTCCCTAAGGGTCCAGGTCGGCTTTGCAGATGATTCAGGAGGCACAGCTTGTTACTACAAGGCGCCTGGTGTGTTCATTCGGCTGTGTCGTGGTCAAACAAGTATAGGTGATAGCAGTTTATCAGTACTCGCCAGTTAATCTGCGGTCCGCGGACTCGGAGCAGGCGAGTTTCATGTGGATCGCATGCAAAGCGGTGCTAATCATGGATTGGAGGCTGTGCCAGTCATGGTTCATACCCTATTACGATATTTGCAAACCACGATGGGCCGCTGGTAATACTCTTGATAGTCTAACCCGATGCCTCATAGCGCGCGATGCACAGGCGTACGATCTCGAGATCTCAACCAGGAACGTCTCGAATACGTCCATACAGGCGAGCCCGAGGGAGTGCCCTTCCTCTCGCCGTCGGTTTTAAGTCTCTTGTTCTTACTGTTGCCGAGGAGGTAAGGGCAGGTGTTCCAGTTCGACAATTCAAAAGAAGGAAAATGGGGCTCCAGTCCCACACGTTCAGAGGCGCAATTCTAATTCTTTGACCAATCCTATACAAGGCACCTTCGTGAATGTTGATAGGCGGTAACTGTTATCATTTATTTACTCACTGATGTTCCTAGACCTCCCTAGACTCACAAGTCTCTGCGCTGCAACGTAAACAGTTGGACCGGATCTCGTAGCCACAGACATGGAATGATGTTGTGGGAGGTCTAATTTAAAACGCTATACAGCGTGATGATGTGATATCCGTGTGAGGATGATCGCGTCGGTATGTCGGCTGGTAGATTCAGTGTAGGCTGCCTGATTTCAACACTTTTTTGCATCGCTTCCTAATCACTCAGCTCCATGGAAACGTGTTTCGCCAGATGTCCGCGCTCTTCTCCTTCATTACCACCATGGGTGCCATGGATCCTGGTATCGATCACCTGCCCTGGTGTCTGCTGTGCAAAGATGCTTAATTTCAGGGAACTCAGGGGTAGCTTGGGCTCGCAGCCAAGCAGCGTTCTCGGCACGATGAATAAGGCAGCTAGGAGGCTCGTAGCCTTCGTTATGCTGATCGGACGATTTGGAAGGCGGAGGGTCCGCGATCAAGGGGCGTCCATCTTTCCACAATGAGCCATTCCTAGTTTAAAGGCAAAAAGGCTCCGTATGCACAGGTTGGCAATCTGTAGCTCGATGGCGATCTTCTTCGGCAACCATGTAGCGTCGGCCAGCGGGAACGGCGGACTGATGGAGGCATACCTCACATCGGGGCATTTGCGAATTGGGAGATGTGAAAGGACACTGGGGGTCCTGAAGTAATGTCCTGCACAGAGTTATCTCTTAATAGGACAAAAATTGTATTTAAAAAAAACGTAACTCGTCATGCACCAAGATGAGATACCGCGCCTTGATACCATATTGTCAGACCAGATAGTCCATTGCGATAATGGGAAGGTGCGACTCAGTTTATGCGTAATGTCATGTAATCCGTATCAAATTTTGCCGGAAGAAGTCCTTTGGCAGGGCAGTTGTGATTCCATATCCGAGAACTAGAGTTCGTAGTTGATCAGAAAGCACGAGCTCTTCGTTTAAAGCAACATACTGGAATTCGACTGTAGAAGGAGGACTGCATGACGCACCCCAGAACGATAGATTCAACACCTTTGCTTGGTCACGAGAGTTGCACAGGATGCTCGCTCTCTTTGAATGAAGATCTGTTCCTGTGACTTTGGTGCTTTCAAGGGTTATCCATCCAAGAGCCGTAGCACCGTGTGCATCGCCCATACAGCTCGGAATCTACAGCTCTTCTCAGTCCACATCCGCGTTAAAGATGACATACCCCTTGGGTGCGCGCACCACGGCCTTGAGCCCTGAGCCAACGCGGTTTTGCTCCGCGTTGCTCGCCGTGAGCCACATTCTCTCGTAGCACGGCACATCACAGTGCCCATTGTAATCACCCGAAGAAAGATGATACCTCATTTCCGGGGTTCGTCCGAAGATTCAGGTAGTTCGAACGGTAGATCTAACGCTCCCCGCTCCCAGATCATCTGGTTTAATATGCGATCACATGCGCTGATCACTGCGCGTTCTTAATGCATCATTCGCCGTAGCTAGGGTTCAAGAGCGTCACATCCTGCCAGTGTGCACATTTCATGAACGTTTTACCAAGCGGACTACCCACGTTCGCCTTTTTTGTAGAAGACAAAGCTCCCTTCAAGCACATGTTTTGTAGGGTGTCATCCGTTGGATCATAAGAATCAAGCTTCAAAAATCGGGTAGGAAAATCGGCGTCCTCCGGATCACAAAAGGTCCAGCCGCGTTCCCGGGAGTAGAAAAGCGGCCAGCCTTGCCAGGACAAATGAAGGAGGATGGGGGCAATGCGATTCCGTACTGTCTTCCTTGAGCTTTGCAAAATCCTGGTACCTCTTCAACCAAAATGCCTTTGATTTGGGCTCCTTAGGAGTGGGCTTCTTGCGTCGGAGGAAAGAATCGGGAACAGTCGACGAGCACGCCGCCGTAGACTCAAGCTGTAAAAGGAAGAAGTCAACAGAAGTTCGGTACATCGACATCGAGACACCCCTGTTGAGTGGCCACAACACCCCTGCTATGGGTGTCCAATCGAGTTGAGAAAGCCAAGGATCATCCTTCCAAGACTGGTCCTTCATCCTGTCATCGGCCTGCTCCGCGAGTTCGACAAGGCGCCTTTTCAGTGCAGCTTTCGTAGCAGACTTTGCGAGGTTGAGGAGATGATGAAGGGGAGACGACAATGAGCGCACTTTCTACTTGGAAAAGAGACATTCTTGAGGGACAGCAAGCGAAAGACGCACAATTGGAACCAATAAGAGTAGATACGACAAATATAGTGAGGGGATGATAGATATACCTGAATGAGGCCCTACTTGAAATTGTTAAATACCGAGCCCTCTGGAAGCCCCAAGTATGGATGTTGCTAAAGTTCTGTAGCTTGCGCGTTCTTCCAGATCCCTTAGCATTATCCATGAGCACAGCAAACAAGATGGCAAGTGACAAACTTGCATTGCGAAACATCTGTGCTTGAATTCTTTTCCAAGATCAGACAGCACCACATAGGAAGGTATGGGCAAGGGTTGCTTCTGGTATACCTGCAGCAAAATCATGAGTGACCGCAGGTACTAAGCAGCGCATACGAAGAAACGAACCTTGAACATGACCATTATAGCTTCATCATCACTCCACAGCCGCTGTCCTGTCCACATCTCGAGGACGACGTAGCTCACGCTCCAAAGGTCGATTTTGTAGTTATAGCCTTCTTTCTGGGGATGTGTGGCCTCTGGCGCCATCCAAAAAACCACGCCCTGCGTCGCATGTGACGCATTTAGTAGTTACATCGAGATCGTCGAAACTCCGAAGTCAGAGATCTAGCAAATCCCCGTCTTCTCCACCATGTTGTCTGCTTTTAAAAAACAATGAGCTAGGAAAAAACAATCACAGATGGAGCTTACTCGGTGTCTGATGTTCATTGAATGGAGATATTCCAAATCTGTCTGGTGAACGATTTCGTAACTTCCTCGCCGGCTTTGCCATGGTCTCGCAGACAGCTTCCGATCGAGCCTCCGGGCACGTATTCTAAAAAACTGGAAATCCAAATGAGTATGCCTGCCAAAGATGACAATAGCATGGGCTCACATTCTCAGGAATGTCTTTGTCTCCTCAAACCCAAGGTACTGCACGATGTGAGGATGGTCGCAATCTTTCAATATCTCAATCTCTGTTTTGGGTCTTTGTCGGCTGTCATTTCTGTCACTAGTACTGGCAGTTATGGGGGTTTCAACTTGTTTGACAGCGATCATCTAGCCTGTGGCGGCATTGAGAGCGAGATACATATGACCATAAGCTCCTTTGGCGATGAGCTCACCACAGACCCATTTAAGTACTAAAAAACAACTTAGCTTTAAGCTAACGTCAAAAAGTAAGCCAGAAAACTTACTCCTGCCAGGACGACCTGTCTAGAAGTCAAGGTTCGCTTCCGTCTGCATCGAGGCATCGACTTCCTCGTACGATTGCCCCACACATTCGTGTCCACCTTCCGCCAGATGATCGTGCCGGCTGATGGGTCACCGGAAACGCGATCTATCTGCTTCTTATGTTGCTCCGCAACATAACGAACGGACTTCTGTGGTTTTACTAGGGCTTTGTCTATCATAATCAAATATTTGGGAGGGCGTAGTTGAGACGTATGATTGGACGGTGCTGAGGGTTTGGCAGGACACCATGCATCATCCTACTACCATGGCCAGAGCTCGGAGTCATGGGATTTAGAGGAAGACGTGAAGGACCAGCTTGAAGCTTCGTGGCACTGAGATGCCAGTGTCCTGAAAGATGGACCGAAGGCTCCGAAGCATTGCTCTACCCGAAACGACACCCTAGGCTTCCGTAGACAGACGGGCCACCATATAGAAGAAAAGTAGTTGTTCCTTTAGCGGTCCGACAAAATACTGGAATATGAACGTTCATCCTCCTTCCACCGAGGTCCAGCACGAGATACGCTTAGACTCACCGACCAAATCTGTATTTCATTCCCCATGATGCATTTTCGAGTATCGACAATCCACATCTCCAAGTTCTCACTCCTCTTCCAGTTAGTCCGAGCATGAGGGACTCCCTCACACTGCGGCATCCCGAAGTCTCGCTCACGTATCCACTGGCAATGGACGACGTTCTACACTAGACGCCAGTGCATACCGTCAGCATTGGAAAGCAAGACTGGCATAGTGTCCTACATGCAGCTCATCGCGAAGCCCTGGATAAAATCGACGTTGAGTTAGCCGTGAATCCCGTGCCACATGGTAAATATTATGAACACGACATATGGACATGACCAATGAAGGCAAACTTTTCGAGGTGTGGCAGATGAGACGAGAACTAACATCTTTGATTAAACCAGACACATCCAATCTTCTATAAGCCGAAAACTATCTTTCGCATTTATCACATTGCGATGTACTGAAACTTTGAAAGGTACCTCACAAGACTGTATCTTGCACCTGTTATGGATATACTGATGATACCTTCCTCCTGATGATTCACGCCCTGGTCCATTGGCTTTCAATGTTTGAAATACGAACATCGACTTTAGCCTGAAGGGGGACTCCGTGGATCGTCACGATTATAAAGTCAGGATGAAGTACTGCCTTACCTTCTCGTCATAGTCGACCCAGTCATCATCTTCAAGATCAACATCGGAGAACTTGGTGCCAGTCTCTCCCCGGCATGTCCATTGCCCTTTCTGTGACATTTCTATATAATGAGATTGGAGAAACACGATAGAAGAAAATACAAACTGGAGCAAAATCTGTGAACTCTAACCCACGACACTCCATCTTCAATAGGGTGGAAAATTGTCCATTTGATTCAGCGGAGTATGGTTTTGACGGTTCAGCAACAAAGCTGGCTGAGCTTTCCTTTTTACAATTACCACAACGCCAAACGAGGTGAGCTGAGCCTCTACTGTTCGAGATATTTCGTGTTTCCTGAAGAAACGAGATGGAATCCTCCATCATCATGAAGTAGACATACATACCAATCTTTTCAACGTGACGTACTTCGGGTGCTCCTCGTGACAACTATTGCAGACTACCTGCACGGGGTATTCAGAATACAGGATATGACGTGTCACCGAATATCACTTTAAAAAAGTACTCGAAATCATCACCAGAAGGGGCGAGATCTGTGACGTTTTCTAGCTCAGCTTTGATTTCCAGTTTCAAGAACTTTTCAGAATTAACATATGGAGGTCTTTCCGATGTAGCGAAAGAAACTTACGACCATGATAGGATGATGTATCTTTCAAGTTCAGGATCGTGGTGTGTCGTTCATCGATGAATGAATATGATCAGAGTTTGTGCTTGTTTGCGTACTTCCGTTTTCAAGGTCGGTTTTACAGTCGGACGACTTCTGCCAAGTTGCCAACTCCAACATGTGGTTACTTCCGCCATGTCGACGCGGTCTGCCTTCAATGATGGTCGCCAGGCAATTTCATGCCACTACACAAGTGTCCATGCGGAAAAAGATGTCCAAGGCATCGAAAGCGGATGACGAAGAAATACTTCAGCACTTTCAGCCAGATGGGGGATTAGATGTACCAGTGGCCGGATATCTATTACACCGTCAGCAGCGGCAGACATTATACTACATGCGACTAATTGAGCACGAGATTCCAAAACTCGTAGGTCAGCCATGATTGACCCTAATTAAAGACGTCCACTCATTCGCATTTTAGCGTTCCGCAAATCATTCGTCCCTCCAACTGCCGCTACACCCCTCGTCATACGGTCCGTTGATTTTGCTGGAGAACAACATCCGTTGACAGCTAAGCGGAGTGTTGTCGTTCCGGTCGCACACCTTCCCCTGCGGAACGAAGTAGCTTTTCACAGAGCGAAACTCCTCGCAGGCGTGCGGTGGATGCCAGAGCCCCCAAGAGACTCTGGTATTTCAGCGGATGAGGATGCAGCCAAGCATGGTTTTATCAAAATTGCGTGTGAGGACTTTCCGCGAGCCAGCATGAATTTAAAATGGATCAGCGATACGCTTGATAAGCTGATTCTCGAAGCAAATGTAGGTCGAGTTTGACGTCGGCTATCATCCATACTCATAATTGATAGGCTGAGGGCGAGGCACCATATCAACGGCTACCACTGGATACCCGACATCTCGATTCTAAAGTGCGGAAATCGAAGAAGGGTGATCATGTTCGAGGCAGAGGTGGATTGCGTCCAAGTCTCAAAGACTTCCCCGCGGAATGGCTTCCAAAGCGTCAAGAAAATGTGATATCTTCTATACTTCCATCTCAATAATAGATTGTATCTCTGGACGGCCGCTGTTAATCGGTCCGATATCATGATCACGAGTGTACGGCGAATCATCCAAAATATGTTATAAGCTCCATCGATGAACAAGCCCGCATGCGTTTCTCCCTATCTTCCTCATGGCGAATACAATTCGTGCGTCTGTGATTCAATCATGCACTGCCCGTTTCAATCTATCAGAAACATTGGACAAATTTGAAAAGTTGACTAGACTTGCAAAAGAGCGCGATGGATCGCAGCTCGTTGTATTTCCCGAAGGCTTGTGAGTCCACCTTGGTCCGCATGTCGTCTTACCTATGGCATGTAACTCTTGCTCAGCATCGGGGGCTACCCAAAATGGTCAACCTTCTCATGCTTCGTAGGAGAGAGAACTTCCGAGGGCAGGGACGAGTTTATCAAGTATTATAACGCGGCCGTTGAGATTCCTTCGCCAGCGACATATCGTATCGCAGAAGTGAGCAAGGCGACAGGGGTTTTTGTGGTCATGGGGGTTATCGAGCGTGATGTCGGGACACTCTACTGTACCGCCATATTCGTCGACCCCGTTGAGGGCCTAGTGGCAAAGCATCGAAAACTACTGCCAACAGCATGTGAACGTTTAATCTGGGGGCAGGGCGATGGAAGCACCCTTCCCGTTGTAGCAAAGAAGTTCCAATCCTCCGTCGAGCCAACGCGCACCGTCGAGACGAAGATATCCGCTACCATATGTTGGTGAGTGTCAAACCTGATCGCCCTCACCTAGAGATCATAAACGAGTTGTACCAGGGAGAATTACATGCCTTTGCGTGAGTGAGTCTTGAGATTGATCTGAGTAAACCTCTCAAACAGTGTTTCTCCAGTCCGAACCTATTATTACTCTCTCGGGACGCAGATCTATTGCGTTCCAACGGTTGATGCGCGTGAGACTTGGGAAAGCTCTATGCGACACATCGCATTCGAAGGACGTTGTTTCGTGCTTTCTGCGTGTCAATTCGCGACCGAGAAAGACTATCCTCCGGACCATCCCGTTGCAGATACCAGCAATCGCAATCCTGACAATGTCATGATCAACGGTGGCAGCTTGATAGTCAGCCCTCTGGGAAAAGTACTCGCTGGTCCCACGAGGAAGCCCGAGGACATCCTGACTGCAGATCTTGACCTTGATGATATTGTCCGAGGAAAGTTTGACCTTGATGCTGTGGGGCACTATTCACGTCCAGATGGTATGACCACTTCATTTTGACTTGAGATATGACTCATGGTCTGTGCTTAGTCTTTCAGTTCAAGGCAAACATCTCGCCTTGATTTTGGCAAGGGGGCCCATGTTCAAGAAAGTGTGACGATGGTCTCTTATTATCATCTCTACTGTCAATATCGTGTCTTCTCGAGTTGATCTGTACAATAAACATTCACTTCTAACAGGTTCCACTGATATTGGATGTTGGACGTCCTATCTTTCCCAATTAATTATGCTTTGTACGACATGCATGTGGCTCGCTCGGTACTAATGTGGCCGACAAGGACAAAGATCAAAGCGACATCCTCTTTCTCGTACTCCCACAGCACGCACAAAGTGATGCATAGAAATCCATTTGAAAACTTCCACAACTACTATGATATAAGAGCTAGCAACACATACAACTCCCCTCATCACTTGAAGTCACTAAGCTGCGGCAGGTCCAAAGTTGACCAGACTCTTCAGCCAAAAAACCCTCGCACTACTTGCTATACACTTCATAATGTCTAACTCGCAAACTCCTGATGCACGCACTGCGCTTATGCAATCTATTCTGTCGCGTCACTTGCAGGCGAGTCCGGCGAGAGCATCCTCAAGCTCTCTATTGCGGAGACCAAGCCGCAATTTTAATGTGCAGGACTTTGCTGGCCACCGAAAGCAGGCAGCTAGCCCTAGCAAACGCAAGGCGCGCGAGGACAAAATTGCCTTGACGATTCGAGGTAGAACGATCTATGATCCACGAGCCTGCCCCATTACACACTCGGCACCCAAGAAAAGCAGCCCACGGAAGAGGTTGATGAAGCCAACCGGTCCCTCATACCACCCTGGTGCATCCTTTGAAGAGAAACCATTGACTCTGAATATTTTAAAACGGATGAAAACCGAGGAAGAATACCCAGAGAAGAACCAAGGTTTCTTGGTAGAAGCCGGAGGTGAATCTACACCGAGCTGCTACTGGGAGGCGCAGGACAAGTCTCCTTGGATGGGCATCTCCGAGTCTGATCCGGACTGGCCAGGAAGCAGTGAAAAAGTCACACCCTCGGACATGGAGTATTCTCCGTCTCGCTGGAACGCGCCGCAATTTAACTCAGGGGAGGGCGACTGGGAGATGATGTTTGACATGTACATCAGAGAGCAGTGAAGCTATGATGGGAAGAACTGTTGAATAATCATAATCAATACGGTAATCACTCATTTTCTGTAGTTAGTTGTGGCAATATGTATAGCCTGCAGTGCACTATCATTTACGTACCATCGCCCTTTATGAACGGCTCTCTCCGCCCGGTCGATATTAATCGCTAACGGGATTGAGTTATTCGCTTACTGAAAAGCGGATTTAGCGCGCCACTGAAGCCAAACAAATGCAACACATTTGTAGACAAGAAGAGTGTTTGCTTCATCTTTCTCTCCTCGTTTGCAGTCAACCGAAAGTAAATTTTGGACCTTATTGCTAGTCATCTTAAGCCCTTCATCACTGACAGCAGCGTCCAGATGACTGACTCCTACACCTCTCGCGCCGGTGACCACTCGCCCTCTCCAAATGGCTACGCGAACGGTTCCAGTCCGTTGTTGGCCCAATCTAACAACGCTGGTATCTCACCTGTCATTCGCAAAAAGCTTATGGGCTACGTCGGCTTCGCCAACCTTCCAAACCAAGTGCACAGGAAGAGCGTCCGGAAAGGTTTCCAGTTCACTACAATGGTCGTCGGTTCGTTGTTTTATGCTAACTTAGTAACATGCCCTCAAATATTAACTATTCTCTAGGCGAGTCGGGTTTGGGCAAGTCTACGCTGATCAACACTCTCTTCAACACGCCTCTATACCCTCCCAAGGAGCCCCTTCCTCCTTCGGCTGAACGACCCAAAACGGTTGCTATTGAAAGCATTGGCGCAGGTCAGTGTCATATGACAGCACACGAGATGCCATTAACACCCTCACTTAGATATTGAGGAGAACGGCGTTCGTCTCCATCTCACTGTCGTTGATACTCCCGGTTTTGGCGATTTTGTCAACAATGACGACAGGTATGTAAAAATTTGGCCAAATTAAGAATATCCCACCTATACGTAATGTCAGCTGGAGGCCGATTGTAGAAGACATTGAGTCGCGCTTCGACTCATATCTAGAGCAGGAGAACCGTGTAAATCGGCAGAAGATCGTTGACAACCGTGTTCACGCTTGTCTTTACTTCATCCAGCCCACAGGTCACTCGTGAGCAGTTTTGTTGTCTTTTGTTGTACTTCTATCTGACACGTTCCCTCTTTGCACAGGCTGAAACAACTCGATATTGAATTCATGCGTCGCCTGCACACCCGAGTTAACCTAATTCCTGTCATCGCAAAAGCTGACACGCTGACGGACGAGGAAATTGTTGCCTTCAAAGCCAGGGTAAATCGTCTGTCCGTGCCGCATTACTTGTTACCTGACCTTGCATGCAGATCCTTGCAGATATTGCTCATCACAATATTCACATCTTCCAGGCACCCAGCTATGAGAACGAGGATGAGGAAACCCTTGCCGAGGCCGAGGAAATTGCTAGCAAAATTCCTTTCGCAGTCGTTGGTTCGGACAATGTCGTGGACACCAAAGATGGTCGTCAAGTCCGCGGACGTGCATATCCTTGGGGTGTAATCGAAGTCGACAACGAGGAACACTGTGACTTTGTTAAGCTTCGCCAGATGCTCGTCCGGACCTACATGGAGGAGCTTAGAGAGCGCACAAATGATGTGCTATATGAAAACTGGCGAAGTGAGAAACTTCTTAGCATGGGTGTCGCCCAGGATTCTAGTGTCTTCAGGGAGATCAAGTAAGTGCTAGCTTTGTTGTTCGTAGAGAAAGTTGATTGACATCTCGTCAAAGCCCTTCTGCCAAGATCCAGGAGGAACGCATTCTGCATGAGGCCAAGCTTTCCAAGATGGAGGCTGAGATGAAGATGGTGTTCCAGCAGAAGGTCCAGGAGAAAGAGTCGAAGCTGAAGCAGTCCGAAGAGGAACTTTATGCCCGACACAAGGAAATGAAGGACGCTCTCGACAAGCAGCGCGCAGATTTGGAAGACAAGAAGCGAAGAATCGAGAGCGGTCGACCGCTGACCCCAGAGAAGAACACTGTAAGCCCAACAATCCAGCCCTGGAGTGCTTACTAACTAACGTTCATATAGACCAAAAACCGTCGCTTCTTGCGGTAGATTCTCTTCGTCTCGGTACTTCTGTCTTATTGTTCTCTCTTCGCCTCTTCTAGCTTGCCATTTAGTATTCTTGCTATCGTACATTGCCTTGGCGTTTCACTCGTTACCTCGCGCTCGAACATTTTACACTCTCTTTTGGATTGATATCCAGGTTTGGCTACCCTCTACCCCTTTAGTACTACTATGAGCAACTTCTTATGCAGAGTTTCTGGATGTTGAAAGACGTCGAGGAGACGATTGGATTTTTATTTTTGCGATGACTGCGCGCAGATACCCAGTGTTGCCACTATGTCAATACTGATAAACAGATAATCTTGAGTTTGTCACAGCTTAATGAGATTTGATCACGAACCACGACGAAGCTCAATCATGGCTGATAACCAGTCCGCTAACATTCAAGCACTATTGTCCGCATTAAACGTGTTCACTCGTGCACCTGACAAGACTTCTTTGGAGAACGCGAATTCCTGGCTGCAGGATTTCCAACACTCTGTAAATGCACTTTCGCCCTTCGCCCGATCTTCCAATCCGGTCATCTGACTTCGTCCATCCGCCCTGTCCTAGCCCGAAGCATGGTCGACATGTAACGTCCTCCTGCTATCTCCTGATGCACCCCCAGCGGCCAAGCTATTCGCTGCACAGACTTTCAGGTCAAAAGTTAGTCAATCGTGATTCATTTCTGTGCGCTATTGAAATCTCCCCGACAGGTTACTTATGATCTTCATCAAGTAGATCCATCGAATCTCCTTCCCCTCAGGGACACTCTTGTCACTGCGCTGGAGAGATATCAAAGCGGTCCGAAGACTATTATCACACAGTTATGTTTAGCGCTTTCAGGACTTGCCCTGCAACTCCCGGCTTGGGACAATGCTCTACAGAGTATCGTCGAGACATTCGGAGCGAACCCTGTAACAGTTCCTGTTTTACTCCAATTTCTGACCATCCTTCCGGAAGAAGTATCGGGTAACACAAGGATACCTGTGACTGTGAGTGGCGCATAATTGGTAGATTTAGGAGGTTTTCATGACCCCAACAGGACGATGAATATCGCGAAAGGTCTACAAAACTCCTTTCAGACAACTCTGAGCAGGTATTGGAGCTGCTATCCATGTATTTGCAGGCAACTGGTCGGTCTATTTATTTGATTGCGAAAAGGCATTGGTTACAAAATTCTGCAGGTGTCACACACGTGGTTCAAAGCCAAATCTTTGATTGCCTTCGTAGCTGGTTAGTCGCAGGAGAAATCGATATGCCCGCTTTCGGGAAATCTCCTTTGCTTGCATTTGCATTCGAGGCCCTAGCCTCGGAGGAACTCTTTGACTCGGCAGTCGACGTCGTCTGTGAAATGATACACGAGACGCAAGAAATCGACGACAATATGCCTGTGATTGAACTCATCGTTCCTCGAGTCATTGCCCTCAAGTCTCAACTGGAAGATAAAAAGGATGATCCGGAAAAGATTCGAGGCTACGCAAAGATTTTTGCAGAAGCGGGTGAAACGTACCGGCTACTTATTCTTCAGCACACCGACACATTCTACCCAATCGTCGAGGCAATTGGCCAGTGCTCAGCCTACCCTGACCTCGATATTGTGCCCATCACTTTTCCTTTCTGGATGCGGCTAGCTCAGACTATCGGCAAGAAAACAACAATTTCGCCCCTATTTGGGGAAGCGTACAAAGCGTTGATGCAAGTCGTCATTCGCCATTTGCATTTCCCTCCTGATCTCGCCTCTATAACGGGCCAAGAGGCGGATAATTTCCGCTCGTTTAGACATGTGATGGGAGATACTCTCAAGGACTGTTGTCTAGTTCTTGGTGCAGATGCCTGTCTTCTTTCTGCTTATGGGCTCATCACTACGGCGCTCTCTCGCAGCCCACAGTCTATCTCCTGGCAAGAAATTGAGGCCCCTCTCTTCGCTATGCGCTCCATGGGTGCTGAAGTTGATGTGATGGACGAAACCGCCGTGCCCAAGATAATGGATCTCATTCCCTCCCTTCCGATTCATCCTCGAGTTCGTTATGCTGCACTGCTAATCATATCCCGGTACACCGAATGGATCAACCGTCACCCGGACTACATTGCATATCAACTACAGTACATCTCGGCAGGCTTTGAAGATCCTGACTCCGAAGTCAGTGCGGCTGCAGGGCAAGCGTTGAAGTACTTGTGCCAAGATTGTAAACAGGTGAGACCAAGCGTCACCTTTGTTGTTCAATTTTATTTTATTAACGCAATTGCAGCATTTGATTGAATTCCTTCCTACGTTGCATACTTTCCTCACAACAACCGGAGCAAAACTGGCTCAGGACGATCGGCGACAAGTATACGAGGCCATCGCTTACGTGATTTCTGCAATGTCTATGGAGAAAGCTGCGGAGTCCCTGCGAACCTTCTCGCTTGACATTCTGTCTCAAATACATGCCATAAGTAGCAAAACGACAGCAGTAACCAAACAAGAACTCAAGGAAGTCGGATGTGAGTTTCGTGGATCGTGTTGATATTTGGCTAACGCCTGTCTCCTAGATGGCTTGGAAAATCTGGAAGTCATGTTGCATGTCGTAGGACCCTTTGGAGACCAGCTACCTGCCGCCTGTCAGAACAGCTGTCAAGAAGCATGGTCGATTTTTGACACCTTCATATCCAAGTTCGCGTTCGACTATGACACTTCTGAAAGAGTCACTCGCGTACTTCGTCACGGCATTACGCTGTTTGGCGAGAGCGCTCTTTTAGTTGCATCATCTGTCTTGTCACGGATGGTGACGTCCTTTGAGGCAACAGGTTTCTCGTCTTTCTTGTGGATTTCAGGGAAATTTGTAGGGAGGTTTGGTCACGAGTCGGACCCAGTGTTGCGAAATGCCTTCCAAAACATATACGAGAGAGCGACCAACAAAGTCGTTAGCCTCCTACAATCAAAGGATCCAAGAGACATTCCTGATGGTGAGCCCTTTGCGTTCCAATCTTGACGAAAGCTGACTTTGGTTTAACAAGTATTGGAGGATTATGTTCAGCTCTTACTCCAGCTCATACGGATGGCCCCAGACGTCTTCTTCCAGTCCAGCGCATTCCCGCTGGCATTTAGAGCCACGATGGCTGCCCTCACTCTAATTCATTCTGACCTCGTCTTTGCATCCTTAGATCTCTTCCGCGACATCCTTACTCACGAGAGTCTTACTCCTAGCTCATCGCCACCTCCCAAGTTCCCCATTTACTCTTCAGCCATCAAGGCCGTCATGGAAAAGGAGGGATTCGAGTTTGTCGGCTACATGCTCTCGGGCCTGGTTGGAGACTTCCCCGAAGACTCTACTGCGATTGTTGTCACCATCTTCCGCGCCGTAGCGCTTCTGTGGTCTACGCAGCTGGTCGCATGGCTGCCACCTATTTTGCAGCAGCTTCCTCCATCCAGTGCCCCGAACCAAGTGAAGCGGCAGTTTTTATTGGACGTGACAAAGTGCGTGTGCCTTATAACTCCTTTTGACTATGGTATTGAAGTCGCCTGATTGTTAGCTCGTTGAACACCGCCCAATACGACAAGGTCAAGTATTCCATTCTAGCACTCCACCGCGCTTCACGCAAGGCTCGAGATCGTAGACGTGTAACTCCCTTGAACCAAGTGTGAGATCCAAGTGAGGAAAGCTTTCTCGTCTCACACGGACTGGAGAGATTCAACGAAGGGAAGAGATGTGCACACACTTACAGAACTGTAATAGGAATTTTGTACATGACAAAAAATTGTTTAGTATTTGTTTGTGAATGCGTTACCAGTGTCTACCACCACTCGGCGCTACGTCCGAGGGAACGTTGCTCACGAAAAAGTGACATGGCAGAGAATGCTGCGAAGCGAGACTTCAGGTACACCAGGAACGCGAGAGTGTCTCATGACATAGTACCTAATCGGGAAATACCGGGGTTTGAGGTTTTGGCACGGCGGGCGGGTTGCCACATATCACAACGCAGCGGGGAGACTTTGCATTTCTTTCCAACACCACATCCACTAATGTTTCGTCGTTCAGGTCAATCATTTGCTTCTGACCGTACGTTATTGATCTACTTTGCAATAGCAACGGAAGCTGATGTTTTCATAGTCGGTCGCCGGTCGTTCTCAGTTTCGGCTTCTCGAAAGAGTTACGCCGACACCATACACAACCTACGTATTCACAAAGACACTAAAGTACTCTGTCAAGGTTTTACTGGAAAGACAGTGAGCTCTCAACGTTCTCCTTGGATTTTAACGCGCGAAGAATTTATCATCGGAACAGGGAACCTTTCACGTGAAAGAGGCTTTAGCATATGGAACAAACATGGTTGGGGGTGTTTCCCCAAAAAAAGCAGGCCAAACGCATCTCGGCCTCCCTGTTTTTGGTAGTGTCAAAGAGGTATGAAGGAATCCATCATCATTCTGCCAATGTCTCATCATATCGAATAGGCTGTTCGGGCAACAAACCCTGATGCCACAATCCTTTATGTTCCTCCCCCCACCGCTGCTGATGCCATCATTGAGGCCATCGAGAACGAGATTGGTTTGATTGTTTGTATAACAGAGGGTATTCCTCAGGCCGATGAAATCAAGGTAAACTATTTTTTGCGTTACATCGAAGCAGTCTGTGAACTTTATATTTAGGTCATGAATGCCTTGAAGAGCCAATCTAAATCTCGTCTCGTCGGACCCAACTGCCCCGGCATCATCAACCCACTAGGTTGCAAAATGGGTATTCAGCCTGGTCACATCCACATGCCAGGAAAGATCGGTATGTCCCAATCGAAAGGCTTTTTTTCGTCTCCCGCCTCATCGATATATTCCAGGCATCGTTTCGCGTTCTGGAACCCTTACGTACGAAGCTGTCGCGCAGACCACCGGTGTTGGTCTCGGTCAATCACTCTGTATTGGCATTGGTGGCGACCCATTCCCCGGTACTCAGCACATCGACGCCCTCAAAGTTTTCATGGAAGATGATGCAACTGAAGGTATTGTTGTCATCGGTGAAATAGGTGGTTCTATGGAAGAGGAGGCTGCCGATTACCTTGAAAAATACAACAAGACTCGTAAGAACCCCAAACCTGTCGTTGGGTTCATTGCAGGACGCACTGCTCCCCCTGGGAGACGCATGGGACATGCTGGTGCTATCATTTCTGGCGGCAAAGGTATAGACCATTGGATTCGCTTTAATCTCCCGCTGACTTTTTGGATCGCAGGCGCTGCAGTAGACAAGGTTGCTGCTCTTGAGAGAGCTGGTGTTATAGTGACGGACAGTCCTGCAAAGATTGGTGCTGAGATGCTCAAGGTTTGTTCAATTTTTATTGTTTTCAATGGTATGCTGACTTTCGGGAAAGGCAATGAAGGCAGCAGGTCTCGTCTAGATAGATATTACCACTATACCAGTGTACCACAGTTCAATCTATTATTTTTATTAGGCCAATAATCTGCTGTGTGCTTACATAATCGTTCACCAATCGTTCATCGATGTCATTTACTCCGTCCATAGATGAAGCAGCAAGCTATCTATCATCTGCACCGTCCCTCTCAAAGGTTTCCACAACCATCAAGCTCGAGGTCAATATGGTGTTCTTGACTTTTATCTATTCTCTAACTTGTTCATAGCTATATGGTCTATTCAAATATCTCAAGGTGGCCTCGAAACCGCAGGGCTCAAGGCCACACATATTTGACATGACGGGACGTGCCAAGTGGGACGCGTGGAAAGTGGCGAGCGATACATATGTGAACAATAGTCACGCCGCGGCACAGCGGTATCGAGCAATCGCTCAAGAATTGGGATGGAAATCAGATTCTACTCCCAACAGTGCGTCTGGGAAGCGATCGGAGGATGAAGGTGCGGATACAGGTGTTCTGAGTGACTCTGCTGGCTCGGGGTCTTCAAGTGGTGGCGGCGGGATGGGAACATCTGTCAGCTTACTGGTCAATCCGGGCCCAGATTTGGGTGAAGCTCAGACGCTGCACGGGTTAGCTATCGCGGGAGACGCAGAGAAGTTGATGGCGTTCTTGCTTGTCAATCCAGCGGTCGATATAAACGCACGCGATGAATTTGTGCGCTTCACCGCTGCTTCTCTACACAAAAACTAAAGTTCCAGTGACAGGATTATACCGCCCTTCATTTGGCCTGTGACAGAGGGAACTTGTCAGTAGTCCAAGCATTACTGAGCAAGGGAGGGGATCCTCTGTTGAAAGTAAGGCATGGAACCTTATAATTCGAATACTGACCTTGTGATCCGACAGGATCCCGACGATTACACTGCAGCAGAGCTAGCTCAGGTAGCTGGACATCAAGAAATATATGACCTCCTGAATAATTAGAAGATGTTTGAATGATAATGGAATTATAGCTGCAATCTACATATGCGAGGCTGTAGTGGTAATATATGACTTCCTCCTCGCTCTTAACAGACGGTGGAACGAACCCACCCCAAATCGATGTCGATTTGCTCAAGGTTCCTTCAAAGCACCACGAGAACTACGATGTAGCTGAAGTCATTCCAGAAGAATTGTCTTTTGACGATTCCGTGCCGAATTTTGGACCCAAAACCTTCGGGTGATACTTGGAGTCCGGCGGTAACACACCACCCTTGAATGTTGACTTTAGCACCAACAAGCGTACGAATAACAAAGGCGGACTTACACGTTCCAATAGCTTGACTACAGATTTGCTGGGCAGTGCTCCAACACCCAGCCAATATTTTATTCTGTCCACACTCCATTTGACAGTCTTGTGTGTGTCCCCGAGCTTAAGAGCAGGATCGTAGATGCCCAGTAGCTCCATAGGCTTTGCGTCTCGTCTCGTGCGCTGATTAATGGCGACTAAATGAAATATACGGTTGTGTCTTTGGCCGTGCATGGCCATCCTGAGGCGCACAGGCATGGTGTAGTATTGAAGTAGTACGCCTGTAAGTTGGGAGAGAGCGAAAGTCGTGTTTATTACTATTTGGTCAGACGCGAGCCAAAGTAGCGAGCCACAAATTCAATTATTTTTGTGACCTCAAGTAGACTGGGCAATACAGTTTCTACATCATAGATAGTTGGTTTGGAGGAGAGGATGTGACACTCGTAGTGTCCGGAAATACTATGTGTCACCGAGGTTTACCGTACCTGCTCCAACAGTGCTAGTGAAATTTCCCCTACAAGCGGCCCTTGAAGCAGTGAAGCTGAGAGTGCAAGAACGAAGTGTTGTCTTTTTATTATAAGTCAGGAGTCTGACTCGGGACCTTCGCTGCCTGGAATCAACTGGGTAGGTAGATATCAGCCCCCACTCGAACATTCAGTAAACGAATTTCACAGACCATACAAATATTGTTGCCGTTGAGAAGCGTCTGTGCAAGTCGTGTTTTCTTCTTTCCCTGAGGAGTAGTCTCGCTGAGGACGACCGTCAGCAACAGGAAATCGCCATCATCTAGTCTCACTGACTATTCAGTTACATCCTCTAGCACCATGTCTGCGTGTAGGCGTGTTCAGCACCAGCTTTATCGCGTAGGAAAAGGTGGCCGACTCACTGACGAAATCGTCGAAGCCAAGCAGCGTCCCAGTAAACTCACGATCACTCTTCATAATGACCCATATCCGGGATCCAATGCATCTGTCAATCAGCTCTGCGACGGCTGTCAGGAAAGTGATCAATGATTTTGTTGTCTTTTGTACTCGCCTAGCGGGAGGATTTGAGAAGCCATGATGGTACAGTTTGTGGTGGCGCAAAGCAAGACGGGCGAGACATGTTGGCATCAGCATTCAGATCAATGTTGTAAATTTCATGTATCGCATAACAGACATCATTGGGTAGTACAGGTTACCAATAATAAGTATTATCAGCTACTACACTGAATCATTTTCTCGTGCTCTGACATATATTGTTGTCATAAAGGAATTTGCGTCCGTTAGACGCGTTACATGTAACATACCGCACAAGCGTAAAGGGTAAGGAGAGATCACAGGTTGCAAACAGAATGGGGAGTTGAGCGATAATGGTTGGTGCAAGATATAAGTGACAGTAGCACAGTGGAAGAGATAGGCGAATCAACAAGACCAACAGTTTACTGCTGGCCGAAACTAAAGCCTCCTTGAGGAGCAGTGACATCCTGGAACTGCGCAGATAATTAGTACATGAAAAAGGACAATATCAGCGAACTCACAGCAAATGTACCAGTAGCATCAAGGCTAGGTGCGCTGATTGCTGCATCCACTTCCTCCTCATCTGGGAAGTACTTGTCCATGATATTGAACGCCTTCTTATATATCTCTAGGTTGTCGTGTGATTGGAGGTTGTGGATGGTGATCATACCGCCCGCCTCTTCGACATATAGAGCATATTGGTTGACAGATCCGGGACCTCCAGCCTGTTTGTCTGTCTCGCCGACCTTCAAAATGTTATCGAGACCATCAAGGGCAACTTGAATGATCTTGTTATCCATCATAGTGAGCAGGTCACAAAGTGGCTTGATACAACCTTGCGAGACGAGATAGCGGATCTGCGCTGGTTCGTGAAGACCGCCAGACGTCGCGTTCGAAATTGCCCAGCAGGCCTCCTTCCGCGTTTTGAAGTCGGCATTGGAAAGAATGTTGATGAGTGGAGGAATGATGTTGGCATCGATGACTGCCTGAATTTGGGGAGGTGACCCAGCGGTAATGTTGGAGATCGTCCAGCACGCTTCTTTCCTGATACCTTCTTTTGGAGAAGATAGCAGCGAAAGAAGAGCGGGTAAAGCCCCAGACGCGATAACGACCTGAGTCTGAAGATCATCTCCAGTAACAATGTTGCCGATTGAACGAAGAGCGGGCGTTTGTACGGAGGTTGAACTGTGCATGAGTAGATCAACGAGGCGCCGACATACAGCTGACTCGATAACTGCTTGGATCTTGTCGTTCGAACCATCTGAAAGGTATGAAATAGCCCAGCAAGCATCAATCAAAATTTCGTCATCGAGCGAGTAAATGAGTTTGGTCAAGACGGTCAACGCGGGGGAGATCTAGTGAAAGACGTCAACATCCTATGCATACAAGCCATGATTTGCCACAAACCAGTTCCCAGTCGGGCTGAGGATTTTTGCCCCTGCAGAAGTTACTCAAGGTCCACGTAGCGTTCCTGAGCATGCTAAGTTTGTGATTTTCGCTTAGCAAAGTCAGGAGTGGCCTCAATGCCCCTTGCTGTAGGACGTAATCTCTGCATTGTGGACTGTCACCCGCGATGTTCCCGAGGGCCCATACCGCCTGCTCACGAACATCGAGGACCGGCGATGACAGGAGGTTGATGAACTCAGGCACAGCTCCAGCGGAGATGACAACTTGAGTGTGCTCGGCGGTTCCAGAAGCAATATTTGTGAGCGCCCAAGCGGCCTCGAACTATAAACCGATCAACATTGACTCATTGGTGAGGGACGGAACAACAAACCTGCAACATGGAAGCACCAGTCCGAAGGAATTCAACGAAACGGGGTACAACGCCACACTCGATGACTTTCTCGATTGGAGGGTTCCTCTCCTTTGACAGCAGTTTCCGGAACTTCGTAGTTGCATCCAACTGGCGATCAGGATCATTAGAAAACACGCCACTAATCATTTCTTCCGCAAGCTGCAAGCACATTCAGTATAAAATCATGAAAGTGGATGAGATCGTATGCACCGGAGGCTCCCAACTGCTTGTCGTCGCTTCTTCATCTGAGTCGGCTGAAGCTGAGGGGAGGAAATTACGCCTTTTCGCGATATTCTCCTCGCGCTTCTGCCTTCTGATCTCAACCTGCTGCTCCTCTCTGCGACGCCTAAGATCGTCTTGCTTCAAACCACCTTTATTCTTATAGTCTGATCAAATACGCGTCTTCAGTAACTGATATCAAGAAAAAAAATTGAGGCAAGCATACTGGCTCTGCGGTGTTCCATGGTACGTGACTCCATGACGGATTGCTGGATCGCAAAAATCTAAGAAATGATAGAAGAGAGAGAGATAGAACCAGAAAGAAGATCAAGATGTTGAAAGCTCTCGCGTCACAACAAAGGATAAAGCATTATCAGCCACGTGTGACATTGTCATATCCATCACACAATGTGACTCAACGAGTCACGTCACAAAAGTTTTCGTTCCACATACTTTTAGTTCTATCAGTCTCCCAGATTGTTGGTCGTTAAATATTAAGTGTTCAGCAGCTGATTTTACAAACAATTGGTATCAGGAGTGCGAAGGTAGGGTGGAATTGAGCAGTAGCAAACTTGCGAGCGGTAGTGGTACTTCACGGGAAGTTGTGTCGTTCTCGTGCCTCGATCGGACTTCAACTCAAAGTATTGCACGACAAATTTCTAAATACTGAAATGTTCGATTGCAGTAAGAATACAGCGTGGATAATAGTTTACGAGTCAAACGGGTACTAGTAAATATTATTTAGTCTCTCGGGGTGTCCAGTCATTGTTAACGATTACTCACCTCAAATGATTCCGGAGGGTCAACGTCCGGCGAACTCTCATCTAGAGCAATGTGGAAATCTCTCGAAGGTCTGGCCCGATGTACGAGGGCTTGCGGTTGTGCATGTCCGTTCTCAGTTGGTGCTGGTTCCACGACAGGAGGTTCGAACGAAATGAACTCCGCTTCCGTGTCTGGCCTCTCATCTACCATCAGGAGAATACCACCCCCGCCCGCGTACCGCTCTGATGCAACACCGGATGGCGCCTTCCTGAGACCAGGGTTCGGATTCCCTTTGCCACTAGTCTTATGTGGGACTGTGTTCAATGATACCGGACGAACGGGTTGATACCGTCCTTCAGGGGGGAAGCTGATGTAGGCGAGTTGCGTGGGAGTAACACGGGAGAAGTTCGCAACATTCTCTGAGGAAGGCTCTGATTTCCGTTTCGGCTTAACGTCTTCGGGAGCGTTGGTCGAAGGCGAGCCATCCGTAGGCTTGCCGGCAAAACCCTCTTCACCTTTCATTTCAACATCGCCATCCTTCTTTTGCTCGGGTTTCTCGTCCTGAAATATCACATAGATAAGTAAAAAATACCCTGTGGTAAACGCAACCATGCGTACAGTATCCATAGCATCTGCATCAGCAGCTGCTTTTTTCTTTTCTCTCGCTTTGACCTTAGCGGTTGTCGAAAGAACTGCGGTAGCCGCTTTAGCGAAGGTCTCCCGTTTGGGAGGTGTGGCGGGAGGAGGATAGGCGAAAAGACTGGGTCTGGCATTGGAGACAAACTCGAACTTTGGTACCTGAATTCTGGTTAAGTGAAAGTGGCCGAGAAGCATTGCATGGTGCTCACTTTCAAGTCTTCATTCAGGCCAATAATAGCGGTTGGTTCAAACGCGAGGCACGCGCAGTGTGCTAATGGATACCAATACCAGAACTGGCAGAACATGGTCATACCAACGATCGCGTTCGTATTTTTGCTCCCCGCTCGACTCTGCAAGCTAATGGTAACGTTGCGGCCACCTGCATCTATCAAACCTTGCCCAATAGCAGCACCAAAACGTGCCATAGGATCTTCGTGCTTGTCAGACACCACTTTAGTGTAAAGGGCACGGGTTGAGGACATGGATGGAGACGAGGCTTCTGACTGTTGGACCAAGATCATACCAAGGGCGATGAAGGCACCCTGTCGCACGAAATCAACGCCATCCTTAGTCATGGGCTCAAGGATCTCAACGGCATCTTGAAGACCGGTGCCTGCGCATGCAATACCCAGGGCTAGGGTTGCACCACAACGAACGTGGGGGTTGTAACTTTCACTGAGGAGTTGAACAATTCGGGGGACTTGACCTGGGTTCTTAAATAGGAGGAAGGCGAGTGAGGTCACAGCTGCCCTCCGAACATCATCTGAAGTGTCAGAGACTGCAATGTGCAGTAGCTGCCGGACTGCGTCGTTATTTGACGTCCCTGCGTAAGCTAGCGCGAGAGTGTAGACACCGCCATAACGTAGAATAGGGTCCTGAATGGAAACTTCAATAAGAGCATCGACAGTCACGGTAAGGCTTTTACCTTTTCAGTCAAAAGTGAAGTGATTGTGGAGTCGGCCTCCTCTTGGCGACCATAGAATATGAACGCCAGTCCCATGGCCAGACCGCGAATGATCTTCTCGTGCTGCGTCTCTCTAGCATACGTTAACATCTCCTCCGCGGAGGTCTGATCTGCAGAACCAAGCATCACGAGACCCATGGCATAACCAGCTGCTTCGCCGGCCACGGCGGAATCGGTGAACAGCGTTTCCTTCAAGTCATCGTATGCATCGGAACTTCTTCCGCCCATTGCTGAAATACCAAGGCCGAGAGCGGCACCGTGCTGCACAACCTCGCCCTGAGCGGTTTTCATGGTATCCCGAAGGTAGTTCTCAACGGGTTGGCCGCTACCACAGCCAGCATTGATCAGACCAAGAGCATAAAGAGCACCACCCTCGGAGTAGGCGGCCCCTTGGATCTGGCTTTCGCCCCCTGCTTGGGGGAGGTATGGGCCAAGAATGGTCATTCCCTCCTCGAAATGGCCCTTGTGGATAACACCGAGAGCAGCGGTCGTAGAGAATTTTGCCCAGTTAGACGCCAAACCGAGCCATTCAAGGTTTTCACGAAGGAACACGTCGGAAGTCGTTCCAGCGTGCATGAAGGCGTTCTGTAGAGTAACCGCAGTATGATATATAGACGTCCGAGCTTCGAGAACTTCCTAGCGACAGAATATTAATGACATTTAAAATCTACCATGAGAATACTCACTTTCGTGTTCTTCAGAATTAGCATATCTACTTTATTGTTGCGCTTCAAGAATTCCAGGTATAGTTTGACGGACTCTTGCCCATCCAAGATTTTACGGAGCTTGTCGTATATGTCTTGTGTTTCCTATGGGACAAACTTAACATATAGTTCGCATGTATATGATAATACTTACATCCTTGCCCTCAGGTAAGTCCGCCTTCACCCCCTGCAAAAATTCCCGAGCACCTCCCTCAACTAAGTCGAATGCGAATTGATATGCAAGAAGCCTTTCCTTTGGAATCAGGGAAGTCAGGAGTGGAACGACGAGTGATGGCCGATTAAGGGTGACTAGTAGCCGAGCCAGGGCATGAATGTGCGGGGATTTTGACAGTGATGTTGGAGGAGGGAAGAGAGGTAGGAGGAAGTTGAGGACTTGATCGCGGTAGGAGAGGGAGAAACCTGTATCTAAAACAGCTTCCATCGTGTACGAGAGAAGGGAGACATCGTGAGTCAAGTCATATATACGGTTCACAACATCGAGACGATGAGACTCCAATGCAATGCCAATTGCCTGCCCACAAACGGTGAGCTCGGAGTAGGTAGCATTCATGACGATTATATTACCTGGCGGTACTCCCCCTCTTCAATACAGCGATCGAAAATGCTTTCTATGATAGCTTGTAGCCGAGCATCAATCTTCGTCGAGCTCCCGGAAGGCTCTTCGGTGCGTAGTGTGACGTATCGGTCAATTGCATTGGCTTGAAGGTGAGTGAACAACATAAGGTTAATTTGTGGGCCAGGGCAAGGGGTCTGACACTCACATATCACTGTCTCGACATATTCACCTGCGCCATGTGCGCGAGCCTCAGCCTGGAACGCGCTCCCTGCGCCCAAGGCAAAGGACAAGGCTTCGTCATACTCTCCCAAGAAATAATACACTTTGCTAGCCAGCAAAGCAGCATTATGGCGAGCAGTCTTTGGAAGATCATCGGACTCGTATAGGCTTTCTCTAAGAATAAATTCCGAGGTCAGAATCGACTAGTGCACAGTGAGTAATGGCAACCCATACATGAGTGCAATATGCTCCGAAATTTCTGCCCAAAACTGAGGAACCAGGGGAATGAGTCCTTTGAGAGCATGTTGCTTGAATACGGTGTCTGGTTCTTGAAGGAGAGCGAGCACGCCAGCCGCGGAAGATTGGGAACGAATGACCATGACTTTCAAGTCAAAGAATACTATGAGACGCGTCACCTTTCATCACGCTGCACACGAACAAGTCTTTCAATCGGAGATTTAATCCACCTTCCCGACCTCATCCGTCCAAACGCTTCGGAATATTCATTGCATATTTAACATTTCGACGCCATAATTCATGTTTGCTCACAACGCCGTACGTGCTATTGCTCGCGCAGCTCCCAGAGGTTCCCGTGCATCCTCTGCCGATGCAGGTGCAGGTGATTATTTCACAAAGCGTGATGCGGTCAGGGCCCATGCTGCAGGTTCGCAAAAGCACTGTCTTGCAGATATAATTAGTACTTAATACACCTGACAGAGGTTACTCAGCTTTGGCGCAGAATAAGGTCAGCCCGATATCTGCTACATAGTTGATTTCCGCTGACGTTATGGAAGCTTCTATGTTTGCGTCCCAGCTAGTGCGTTTTAACATCAGCTGTCTGTTTGGTCTGCTTACCCCTTTTTAGCCATTGCCTGCGCCCTTTGGGTGCGTAATGTGGAGGCAGAACATGCTGAACACGTAGAACACATAAAGGCAGAACATGATGGTCACCTTCCCGACATCCCTCAGTACGAATACATGAACCGTCGTCTCAAGCCTTACCCTTGGGGTATGAACTCGCTGTTCTTTAACCCGCATGTAAGCCGTTCAACTGTTCTTGTGTTCGTCTCAACTAATCATTTACAGGTCAACAAAGATTTGTCGGAGGAATGATTTCGTTTCGTATCAGTAGACTATGATGTCATTTCATCTCATTCAACAATTTCAGCGGCATTTTTGTCTGTCACTCCAGTTGGTGCGCAGGTCGTAATTTCCTGGCGTTATATCTGCCTCCATAGTTTCGATGAAATGCCGGTTAAGTTTCTGTTATGGTCGTCAATATGAAGTGTGATTGAAAGCTATAAGCAGGGAATGACTTGACCCCGCCCGCAAGCCTCAAATTTCGCCATCGCAGAATGTTACAGGCAGTCCTCGAAAGTCTGCTTGCCAAAAGATACAAACAAGATATCCCCTAGATGGCCACAGCGGTGACTGACGAATATTTTTTCCTTCGTTGTTGCCTGCAACATAATGCACTTGCACATCTTTGCGAGGTTCAGATCTCAGTGCTTCTTCAAACGACTATCTAGTGCGCCTTCCCCGATTACAGCGCGTTTTAGGAGTCGAACACGCTTTTTAACATTGGTACATCTTGGAAGCCGAAAGCGCTGCTTTAGAAAGACGTGATTTACGAGCTTCGCCGAGTTCAAGACAGATGTCATGTCAGGTTGTCGTTGGTGGATATTTACTTTCCAAATGAGCTTCACGCTTACATGAAACTTATCGCTTCTGTCGTTGTTCTGTTGCGTTCCACTGTATGACGCTGCGGCCTCCGGACTGCATTGCTCAGCATGACACTAGCGGAGGTAACTCGGTGTTCTACAAAACCAGTGATCCGAGGGTGCAATTATGATCTGCATCACTAAAATTTGAATTAATTCCCGATACCTTTAGGTAGGACCGTCTTTGTCGACCGTTCAAATGGAATTCGTATTGCAAGCCGGATATTTCCTTATGCCTTGCAATCTTGGTCTGGACTGACGCGAGAAGACACTTTCGCGGATTCGCTACTATCCACATCTTTTTTGGATTCGGATGCGCGTGACTATTCTAGAGACGGCGTATTTCGAGCGGTCGACTCGGAAGGCGACGAACAGTTCTCTACCGATTTTCCATTCACTCGCGACACTGCTAGCCACAGTTGTCTTAGGTTGTGAATGGTTCGCGTTTTGTCGCGATATTCTGCAGTCATTTTGAAGGGCAGTTTTTATCATTCGAGTGGGCATTGACAGAAAATCTTGGTATGTCTCTGGTCCGTCTTTCGGAATTAGGGTGCAACAGTCTAGCGGATGGTGATTCTCTCGTTAATAAAGCTGCCCAAGCGGATTGTTTATCGGCAGATCTCGTTGCTGCTCATGATATGGTTCGACGTCAGCAGACAGCCTAACATCTATTGATTACTATGTCGCCGTTAGACGACAATAATTCAATGACTAGAGTTGGGTTTACAAACTTTGAGCTGGCCTTTGCACACAATTGGTGGTGCCTAAGTGACACGCACCATAGACCTAGTACCAGCGCTGGCAGTGACAACGGGTAACGATAGCAGATACAACAAGCCTTTTGCAAGATAAGAGGTCACTGGCAGCGTGTGAAGTCGAAGTGGTCGAAGACTCAGACGCGGGTTCTCATATGAACGATGCGGCGACCGGCCCTTTTTATTTACGTAGTAGAAGTGTGCGGCATTCATTCCTAGGATGAAGACAAAACCATACTGATGAACTGTACTACCACAGCTAGGCGTTGAACGTTGATATAATAGTGCGAGTACATACTACACGGGTGGTGTGATTGTCGCCAAAAAAGGAAGGTGCTGTAGATCGAATACCACCAAAACTGCTTTCATGTGGGACATGTGGAGACTTTCACGCATTAACCACTCACCTTTGCAACCACCTACACTACCACCACCACCAACATAGAGCCATGCCTCGCGCAATCATATCTCCTTCAGTCCTTGCCTCTGACTTCGGGCAACTCAGTGCAGAATGCAAGAGAATGATCAAAGGCGGAGCGGAATGGCTACACATGGGTACGTCTACTGATATGTGGAGCTTCAGAGATAGTCCTCATCGCCACCTCACCTTGTGCAGACGTCATGGACGGGTAAGAAATGAGATTCAATACTCTTATCCGATGTCAATCTGTCCCAATCCAGCCACTTCGTGCCCAATATCTCAATGGGTTAGTGCGCCATCGCGCTCGTCTGCTTGCGAGTAGTTCTCACGTGCATGTAGGTGCACCAGTTCTGTCTTGCGTTCATAAAGGTGTCCCGGGCATATTCATGGATTGCCATATGATGGTTGCACAGCCCGAGAAAGTAAGTACATATCTTATCGAACTCGATTGACACGGTAACTGACGTCGGCATCTCTTCAGTGGGTGGACGACATCGCAGACGCAGGAGGCTCGCTGTACTGTTTCCATATCGAAGCCACGTGTAAGTAATCTCGCTTTCGATCTTCTCCTGAAGACTTAGCTCCTTGCGCAGCCGATGCTATTTCGCTTATCAACGCCATACATGCGCGAAACATGAAAGCTGGGGTGGCTATTTCTCCGGACACGCCATCCGCAGCTATCACGGATGAAATAGGCGCAGTAGCAGACATGCTCTTGGTTATGACTGTTTACCCTGGTGCGTCACAATATCATTTTTGATAGGTTGCCTCACGTGGCGCAGGACGTGGCGGTCAAAAATTCCTCGAGCGGTGTGTACCGAAGGTTGCGGAACTGCGGGCACGCTTCCCAGAGAAGGACATTGAGGTCGATGGCGGTGTTGGGCCCAAGACAATTGATGTCTGTGCCGATGCAGGTCAGTGCTGCCACAGAATCCCCTAGACGATTTTGACTGGTCCGCAGGCAGCAACGTCATTGTAGCAGGAACTGCTATTTTTAACGCGCCAAATCCAGAAGACGTCATTACTTCACTGAAGACTACCGTTAATACCGCCCAAGCGAGATTCTCGAAGTAGCTGCTGAAGTCGCTGAACTGCTGATCGCACGATATGTATTATGCATCTATGTTCATTGAGGTAGCACAGTTTATGTTATTAAAGTAGACTAAGACTGTCCTAACACGGCAGCTGAACCAAAAGGGCAGCAAGTAATCTACTTGACATGTCCGAGGTGAAAAGATCGACAAATAGTAAAGGTATGGACAGTGAAAGGACTGGGGGCCAGGTATCGCCCTATCGATGACGTGATTAGAGCGTATACCAGAGAACCGTTACATAAAATTTTAGTCAGGTGAACTTCACCAGCTTTCCCACGAAATGCAGTCAACAACCATGACTGAAAGCACTGAACGCTTAGTGATGTGCATGCCGACTCTCCAGAATCGGCGATAACAGGATGAACTCTGTTCGGACTTGAGTGTGACCCCTGCGAATAGTAATTCTCATGTACATGTAGGTGCACCTTTGCGTCCATAAAAGCGTCCCGGGAATATTTGCCATATGTTGGTTGCACAGCCCGAGAAAGTAAGCACATGTCTCATCGCGGCAGTAACTGACACGGCCAACACGGATGAAATAGGCGCAGTAGCTGACATGCTCTTGGTCATGACTGTTTACCCTGCGTCATTTTTTTGATAGGTTGCCTCACGTGGCACAGGACGCAGCGGTCAAAAATTCATCGAGCGTTGTGTACCGAAGATTGCGGCGCGCCGCGACGCTTCCCAGAAAAGGACATCGAGGTCGGTGGCGGTGTTGGACTCGATGTCTGTGCCGATGCAGGTCAGTGCTACCACAGAATCCCCTAGACGATTTTGACTGGTCCGCAGGTAGCATCGTCATTTTAGCAGGAACTGCTTCACTGAAGACTACCATTAGTACCGTTCAAGTGAGATTCTCAAAGTAGATGCTCAAGGCACTGAAAGTCTGAAACTATTGATGGCACGATATGTAATGAGTAATAAGTACGCATCTATGTCCATTGAGGCAGCACAGTTTATGTTATTAAAGTAGACTAAGATTGGTCCTAGCACTGCGAACCAGAAGGGCAGTAAGCAAAACTATTTGACATGTCCGAGGTGAAAAGATCGGCAAATGGTAAAGGTATGGACAGTGAAAGGACTGGGAATCAGAAGGATAGGTATCCAAACAACTTGCCCTACCGATGTCACAGTCTGAATCAAAGGTTGCAGCATGCAATCTTTGCATTTATGATATGGGGTCGTTTCAGATAATATGTTTAATATTGATCATAAGATTGCGGGACCATGGTCGATGGAAAGCCGCGACAGAAGTGATTCAAGATCACCATTGAAGCCATTCACCGTACATGTTTGGCCTCTCCCCACGAATGTAAGACTCGAACGTTCTCTTGAGAACAGTAGCCCAATCAAGATCCCGTTTATCGTCAGCGACCCGGTCAGTGGCATCCTCTGGATCGATATCGGGTTCCGCCGCTGCACGAGCAGCCCTCTCGCCAGCTAAAAACTTGGGGCCTAGGTCAGGCCAGTTACGAGATGCATCGAATGGCTTCCACCTAAATTGTGATTGAGCACGGTATGTCACACGGAAGAGTAATCTGCTCACCAAAAGTTATGGAAGTGATAAGAGAAAGCACCTTGGAAGAAGCCTTCAAACCCTAGTGCCTGAGGAGCAGCACTGGCTTGTGTAGGTGTATCAAAGAAGTCCGAGAACCTATAAGAAATGAATGAGTAAGCTATGAGCACACGGAACTGCATACGTACTCTTGGAAGTATGGCTGAGGTGGTCTTTCGCGTTGGTAATACTCGGTGTTAAGCCATGCAGAGTCAAACAAGGCGTCAGGCAGTCGTAGCAAAAGACCCTCCAAGTATGCGTCCTTGGTATAACGAGATACCGTCATGGGGTGGAAGTCGAGGCCGTTCTTCAGAGCAGTGCGGAATAAGAATGACCCAAGAGCAGAGTTCTTGTTCATGCGCAGAACGGCAGTATTGTACTTCTCCAACCGCGACCACCTATATGCAAACGCACCCTTCCAACCCCAAAGCTCTTCCCAGTCCCGCAAGAAGATGGTGTCCGCATCAAGGTAGATACCACCGAAGCGATGACAAAGGACAAATCGTGCCATATCAGAGAGGATAACTGAGAGACGGTCATATGAAGACGAAGATTTTGAACCGGTGCGGTTGAGCATATCATCTTCATCTGGCTTGTTGTCACCAGTAGGTAAAGGCTTTGCAGAAGTGTCAGCATCGGTGCTGTTGGTCGAATCCTCTATAGCACTGGTACTGAAGACCTCGGTACTTTTCGACTGTGACTTCTCGGCGGGCACGCTGACAATGTGTCCTCCCGAGTTGAAGAGAGTCTCTCTTAACTCGCGCCACTCGTCCTTAAGTTCTGGAATACCATCAAGTTGGTCTGTTGTATTCCACAGTTTGAATTTGATAACGTCCTTGAAGCGATGATGTAAGAAAGGGGCTGCCCAGGGATTGGTCTTGAGTCCTTCATACATGTCGCTCAAAGCGGAAGGGTTTGGGACAGACGCTGCAGGACCCGGGTTAATCCACATCCAGAACTCGGGGCGGCAAACATTAAGAGCGTCGCCATCCTTCAAATGCAGACCGACATTCTGTGTGAAGAGGAAGGAGAGCAAAGCGAGATATGGCTTGTCGGTGAATGGGCCAGTCCAAAACATGTGGAAGAGACGGGGGTTTTCAGGGTCGCAAGGTGCCGGAAGACTTGAATAAGGCGTATGCTGCAAAGGAGTACGGAGAGGTAACTGTGTCTCCCAGTCTACCCCTACCTTCTTTCTTAATCCTGCGTTAGGATCCGTCTCTCCACCTGAAACTAACGGACGAGGTGGAGCAATGGGATTGGCTATAGGGATGGGATCCGTGAAGGGATCTGTGAAATTTTCCTTTTCTTGTTCCATGTAGATGTATTTCCATTCGTCCATTTCGCCCCGCCGGAGTCTGTTGCCATTGTCGAGACCTGCGCCTACACGCAAAACTTCGAGGCAGTCGCGTACATACTTTGGAAACATTAGTGGGTGAAAAAAACAAAAAAGAGAAGCAGAATGCTTACTTTGCCCTGTGAAAAATCACAATGATCCATAATGACGTCCAGGTCAGCGACACTGCCCGGTACAGGGCGAGGTGGATATGCAAGGTTGGGAGGCATGCTTTGTACATCGAGATAAACGCGTCGTGGACCATCTCCACGCGTGGTTGTAGCTACAGGGCCTGGAGGAGGCCTGAATCGTGAAGGAATCGTTGGAACTTTTCGTGGAGGAAGAGCAGGGTTGAGTGGTGGAACACTGAGTCCGACCTGCTCGGGTACTGAGAAAATTCATGATCAACACGTATGATCACGACAGTAAGAGGGATGAGGCGCACTCTTTGCATTACTTGGATAATGGCCGCTATCTATTTCCCATTTCCAAATTCGCTGTAAATCATCTCGCCCAAAGACTAGGGTAGAAGACTCCCCAAAGTTCGTAGTCCACTGTTTTTCCTCTGTACCGAACCGACGTGCGAAGGAACATACTGTGATGATGGAAGCAATCAAGACTACACAGAGCAGTATAGGCCCTCGTCGTCGTCCGAAACGCGAAATACCGATCTGGCGGACACGACTTGGATTTGGCATAAATAAACGAAGACGACGCGAGTGTACGCCGGGGATTGGGACTGATACTGGGACTGTCCAGGACATTGAACGGGAATGTCGATGCATTTTCTCGGTTACAGCGGAAGAATAAGTTGGAAGAGCGTTAGTTAAACGGCTCTTGTCTGGAAAGCCATTCCCGCGTTGGGGAGTAAAATAATTAGAAGACGCCATTTCGTCCAGTAAACGGCGAATTCACGACGCTCGTGAGGACGCCAAATGAGCACTTTTAAGAATATTGATGTAAAGCAGAGAAGCGTAGCAATCCGTGGGAATTTATCATCTCTCATTTGGGTGGGAATTTTTTGGCTAACTACCACGATATCAAATTTAAGAATGCAGTGAGCGGGCCAACTTCATCCGGTCGTTGTGCCGGACATGAAGTAAGTCCGAGCGCAGCAGTCATAGGTATTAATAAACAAACAAAGTACATGGACTCCCTCGATAGTCTGCAATTATGGACTGGCAGTGCATCTCAGTCCAATAGACTGAGATTTCTATTTCTAGTCTATTTACCAAGTCTTGACAATAATAGGTTATGAGGCCTGCTACCACCATGAATACAACACTCCCGGGTACCTTGTCAGGCTATACTGTCATATTCATTTGTGCATGATATAATTGGCATTGTAGTGTAGTGAGTAGGTGGTGGCAGGCACACGGAGAGTGAGCTAGACAGAATATTATTATCTCAGTCTTGAAGTAAAGGACTCCATGTATGTACCTAGACAGAATATTATTCTAAACAGTCTTGTTAGCTCGTAATGTAAACAAAGACATAGGTACTCACATCTCAGTCTCGAAGTAAAGGACTGAGATGTTTTGACATTGGTAGCGCAGACTCTATTGTACAGGTAGAGTAGGAAGAAAAATAAAACATTACTTTGAAACATTCGGGACGAGGCTCGGCCGACATCACACTGTGCTCGTACCTGCTCCTTCCTGTTCCGATGCCTTTGAGCATTTGGACTTTGATGTGTAGTACCATAGCCATGCATGTTGTTCTTACTGTTACAAGCTCTCAGTTATATTACAAATAAAAGTTTTCTGAAATATTCTGCTACTACTTTTGTCTATGCATTTCTGGATTTCTACATACTGTCATATCCCGCGTTCCGGATCCGGACCTATCACACTCATCATTTCCGGATTTCCGGATCCGGCCGACTTCTATGTATTGTCTGGATCCGACCTGCGTCTAACTTCCATGCCTTATCCCTTTGGTATTTCCCTTATCAGTTAGTACACTTGATTTTCCATCCCTTATTCATTTCCGTCTTCATTTTACTAAGTTCCGATAGACTAGTGATAGTCGTCCCATATGTTTTCTCCATAGCTTTACATAGCCTCGCACTGCACTTACTGTTCTCCGTTATGTCCTCAGTAGTATATAAACCCTGTACAGTCTCTGTAGTTTCCTCAGTTCGAATATCATCTTAGACTCTGCTCATTACCTCCTCCGTCCGACTTGAGTTTCTCTCTTGTCGACCTCCGCTCATCTTAGGATTGACTCCTATAGACTTATCACCTCCACCTCTACCTTTGGTAGTCCTCCGCTGTTTCCTTTCTAGTTCGGACTTCGTCCGGATTAGTCTTATCTCTTGTTCCTGAACGTCCGCCGGAATTCCCGCGCATCGGACATTGGACTCCGGACATCACCCAAACGCCTTCCGGACATTGTCCGGTAACCTTCGGACATCGTTCGACAGCCTTCGGAAGTTAGGGGCACGTACTCGGGTAAGGGGCGCAGCACACGAGCTGAAGCCAAGCCCTTTGGATCCAACCCTTGAGCATGTTCTTAACACATACTTACATACATATTAGACTGACTACAAGTATCTTTCGTGATTGGAGCCATTTCATGATGCTTAGGGGTCAAACCCGATATTTCATAGTTCTTAGTTGACATTGTGAATATTACTGCTCTTTCTATCCAAAATACCTATCATTATTGTTATACCACATACCACTCACTTTCCTGATGTAAAGAGTTGATTCTGTGTAGGCGCTACAATAGTGTTACCTTAGAACTCAATGTGCAAGTGTAATGCTCATCCCAAAGAGACTGCCTATAGAACTATCTCTTGATATAATATGCAAGGGATGACTTGTTAAGATCGAAGATGAGAAAAGGAAAGGTTACCCAAAGTGCATTCTGAGTTCCAAAGATGTGTCCAAAGTACCGAAGTACTTGTCTGATGCGAGTGAAGGTGGTCCAAAGTCAAGAAACAAAGGTCCAAGGTTGCACGAAGCATCCAAAGAGCTTCTGATGAACAGCGAAGGTTCCAAGAGAGAAATATGGTGGGTATGTTGATGTATGTCAAAGTATAAGACTTGCAGAAGTACTGAGGTATGACTAAACAAAGCCTATCAGAAGACCTAAGAGATAGTGGGATGCAAAATGGCAGCAGTCAGGCCAAACAATCATTCTGAATGAACAAAAGATTGATTGCGCGAAGTACGACTATCCAAAGTGACTCTACAAACTATGACTTGTAGCCAGGAAAGTGAAGTGAAGTGCAAGTAGTTAGCGAGCCAGATTATATCCTACAGTGTAAAAGTCCAGAATTGCATAGGTGAGAACAGTAGCAAGATAAGCTATCCGAAATGTAATAAGACTCAAAGCGAGCCATTACAGAGATATGCATGTAATAGCGCACAAGGCGCACAGCTATACATATTAATCAAGCTTTTTGATGTATGTGCCCCTAAGACATAATCAATAACAGATCAACCAAGTGAAAATGCACCAGCGAAGTCAAACAGACATGGACGGGACATGGTATGGAGGATCGGAAGTGTATACATGCCTCGGAAGGAGACAGATGACCTTCAGACGACTCGGACGGTTGCACGTAACTCTCTGAAGGTAAGAGGAGTGTTGAGGAGTATAATGTGAGACACCTATGAGTTTGGCAGGATACATGACCAACACCAACCTGAGTGCTACACTGACATTCACTATCACTGTTTCCTGCAACCTGCAACCCACTAATCTGCTAACCAAAAATATTGTAGTATACCTTTGGACATTGTTTCATGCTTTCGGTATAATGCTTAGGCTTTTGTTGGGCCCATATCAGGCTATTTGATGATGCAGGTCAACTGCTACACATTGCTTGAGCAGCACACATCAAATCTGAAAATATTGGACATTGGATTATTGGATTATTGGACATCACATCAGACATTGGGTTTCACATCAGCCTATCAGAAAATGTCCTCCCTATGTCATGTCCTGTTGTATCTATCCCCACTAGGTGCACAGTTATTCATTTTCATGTCACTAACATTGTAGACTGCATTATTACATGTCCACAGTATCACATGTCTTATTACATAGGACATTGGTCCCAAAAATTATTGCTACTACTGTAGAGATACACACTTAGCTTTGTCACAGTGTCACATGTCTAATGAATCAAAGCCATTTCATGCGACCATCACACAAAATTGAAGTCATTGAAGGTAAATTGTGACACACAGTAAAACATGAAAAAAATACAAAAATGTTCCCAAAAATTCTTGTACTGAGTATTTGCCATGCATCTTGCTTTAAATGACCAATTTTTTTTCATCACCATTAGCTGTGAGTTCTTGCTGACAGCAGCTGGTAGTGGTGCTGGTTTGAAGCTATTTCTGAAGTGTTACAGGTCACACCCAGTGATACACACCAAACTTGTTGTGTGCATGGTCATGGCTACTTTTGAGCTTTGATATTCTCTACTGTACTCTACAAAATTACTAAGAATTTTCTATAACACATTATGATATGATTTGAGTAGTTTTCAGACATAACAAACCCATAACACTACATAATAATTCAATTAACACTTATCCTGTTCAAAGATAAGTTCCAAACATGTTGGAAATTCCTAATTCAGCTTTCAATGGATTACAAAGAATTGAAATGTTCAAATACAAACCTCCGCTTGAAATGGCTTCTAATAATAGAGGGTGTCTTGTAATGGTCATTGCAATCATAGTTGCAATGGGCATTGCAACCCATTGCAATCAATTTTAGTCATCATAATGGACTGTTTGCACCGCTCAGCCACGGTGAGCATTGCAACTGGTTCCAATGATGCCACCAACAATTGTAATAAAAATAGTCCCCCTTACAATGTTGTTCAATTGTTTTTTTTTGTATTTGTATTTTATAATATTAGTCATCTTATTATCTTTTTTACCACAGTCACTCATATGCATCTCCTGTATACCAGAATCATGAAAAAGACATCAATGCGAGAGGATGCAAGGTCAACAAGCCACTCACAAGTCTTCCGCTGCACTAGCAAAACAATGCACACCCTCCAGTAATATGCATATGCTCTTGACAGGTGCATGATGCTGGCTATAAGGTTTACTCTGAATTGTCGCACTGTGTTCCAGCCGTGCTGTATCCTGTACTTAACAGACATGTCATCTGAACATGAAACAAAGAACACACAATCTGGAGACACAGCCAACCTGGTGATGCAGGCAGAGTGAGATTGGAGGTAAGAAATGAGAGTGGTGTCCATTCACCAGTTGTTGCTATTGTGCGTCATGAAGCTTTGTCTGGCTGTATTGCATTGATGAATAGGTCCTTCATGCACCTTTGGACCAAAGTCATGCTGCGAAAAGTTAGAACCATCAGAACCTCGGCAGTGCCATGTCAACACACTTACAATTGCACTTAGACTAATACGACGAGCATCGGCCGGAATACCATGAATGTTGAGAATATCAATGAGGATGTTGCTCAGCAGTGGCCTGGTCAATTTTTTAGCACACGACTCATGAACTAATATCTGTTGATGACCTACCAATGAACAACCCACTTGGGAAGACCATGCCAAAGGTGTCGCAAAGTGTGAACAGAAAATTGTTGGTAGAGAATTGACAAACATCAGGTCTTGCCTGTCAATGAAAACACGACGATGACGCCAGATTGAATCAGACTCACCAGAACGATTCCGAGCACATAATATATTATGAGTTCGAAAAAGACAGATTCTGAGATTGAAAGAGTAGCAATATTAAACAACATAATGGCAGAGTGAAGAGAGAATGAAACAAAGAGACTTAGAATGAATTTTCTAATAGCAGATATGATTAATAATGAGACATGGGAAATTTAGAATGCTGCTTGCTTAATATTTTATCATTTTCATGTCCAATTTAATTGAGCGTGCAAATGCAAACTACAATGAAATCAAATTTAAAAGCAACAGCAGGCAGTACAACATGAAGTGTGACCATTAATATATCTATCCCTAGCAAGTGCGAGTACCATAACGAACACCTGGAGCTGCAAGCTTCTTCACCCTCATCTTTCCTCTACCCTGAGTTGGTTGCTCTGGACCAGGTCCCACATCTAAATCCTGCACCATGACTGCAGTAGTAGTGGCTTCTAGGCCCATCATTACAGATACTTTGGTGTGCTTTCTGAAAGTGGTGCTGAGGGTGGAAGCACTACTAAGAGTAGAAGCAGCACTAAGAGGTGGGGTGACAAAATGTTCTGGAGGCTGTGCCACCTTGATAACATCAGACCAAGAGGTAGTGGCAGCTTGTGCTGTAGAAGATGGCGTAGGTACATCTGATTCACTATCACTATCCATGTCCAGCGCATTCATGGCGTGAATGATTTCACTGGAGTGATCTCCCTGACCAGCCATGCCAGAGGCAGAAGACTTTGCAGAGCTGAAAACTTTGTGGTTGATGTTTTGAACAATAGTATGGATGCAACAGCTATCCCACTTTGTGAGCAAGAGCTTCTTATAGTGGTAGAATAGATCTTTGTAGTTGATACCAGATGACTTTCCTAAGCCAGACTTCTGAAATTCTGTGTCAGGCGACAGCAGAAAGATTGCCTGCAATATTAGCTGAGCAACACTGTCACTCGATATAGGGTGAATGACTCACAATAATGGCAGCCCATGCAATGGACCCTGGTGTGACCTGTTTGAAGTTCCATTTGCATGTGTTTGTCTTTGGTCCACCACTTGTCTCTTGATGAAGTGAAGTGACACCACGTAGTGCAACCTTCAGAACCTATTTAGAGGTGCGTCATCATGTAGTCTGCAAAAATACACAGCCGAAAAGCCTACCTTAGCCAAAAGCTCCCAGTTTCCGAACACAGTCTTCAAGGACAAGTCTTCCTGCATTCCAAGAAACAATACTGGTGGAAAAGTCTTGTACTTTTGATTCATCACTGACACTCCAAGCATGTCCTGTATTTTCATGACATCAGTTCTGCGGTAGTTGGTATTGGCAAAGTACATCCCTGGAAGGCCAAATATATCACTAGCAATACCACACAGCTTATTGATATCTGATGAGCGAGCCTCAGAAATGGATTTCATTACCTTCAGATGAATTGTCCGTTACATTTAGTAATATCAAAACATACAATACTTACGAGATCACTGAAATACAAACTTTCTATGGCGCTGTGTACGTGATCGGGGAAGTGATGAAATAGTTCATTCAAGAACACTGATTCCTGTGTCATTGCTGTCAGGTACCTGTCTCGGCTGTTGAATGGAGTTGGGTTCTCAGAACATGGCTTGCTGAGAAGGTCAGGATTAGGGAACATTTCAACAGTCAGGCCGTATTTATGAGCATAAAGCATTATTGTTTGCTCATAGGCCAAAAGTTCATCAGGTGCTTCCACACAACATTTTTGTTTGGGCTTCTCAGTGATCAGAACTTTGTTCTCCTCACAAAGAGTATGATTGTCCTCAACAAGCTTCTGAACCTGAACCTGCAGTGCCTTAAGTGCCTAGCATGAGAGAGGATTCATTATATGGGTATTAATGCAGTCGAGCATTTAGAGCATATCTCTACAAGGTCTCCCTTTGATGTGTTTGGCCCTGGAATTGCAACTGATTCAATGAAAGGTTCTTCATTAGATTCATTGTCGAATGTGTTCCCAGACAGATATGACATGATACAAAATGAACTGGAGGGAAGGGAGACAAGAAAGCGGTTAGTGCAACACCCCAGTATATAAGGTAAAATGTTTTGCATACCTCATGTATGCCACAGCCAAAGATGTCTGAGTCTTTGCAATAATTATATGTACACTGATTCTCATCATCCCTCAGGCCGCAGTGATATGCCAACACCAAGAAGAAAAATATTGTGATGCACCTTGAAATGGCCATGTAATAAAGGCATAGCCTGACCTTACAACATAAGATAAAATCAGCACGAGTAATCAGTGTAATATTGCAGGCTAGTCTCTTACATTTTGTGGGCCTTTAGTTCCGCTCTTCATTATCCAGTACAAGAATAGGATAGCCCCCAGTATGTTTTGTGATTGTGGCCAAGAAGATGAGCATGACTGAGAGATAAGGATTGAAAGTTGAACGAGCAAAATGTGAGGCCTTCCATGTCAGATTGTGGAGAATGAATGAGAGTGTCAAGAAGGTGGACATGACTGAGAGATAAGGATTGAGAGTCAAACAAGCAAAAGGCAAGGTCTTCTGCATCAGAGTAGAAGGAATGGCCAGACAAGATTTGAGGAAAGTCTATATGTCTTGCGCGCATTGATGAGAGTGTTGATGAACCAGTTGGTTTCTAACATTCCATGAACTGTTTTATGGTTGCTGTAGGTTGAGAATCAGATGATTATACCACCTTCTAGCATCCTGGACTTACTGCTGTAATGGCTGGTGGATGTTCAACATCAAACATGCACAATGTGCCCTGCTTCCAGATGCATCATCTTCATGTGAAGAAACATGTCAGTATCCACAGTATCAACTACAAGGTAATCTAAAGGTCCATCTGGTACCAGAAGTGCTTCATGTATGATTGATCTGACTAAAAAAAACCGTGCCTCAGCTCGTTGTCTTGCTCAAACTCTGAAGAAGTTAAGATCCCTGTCCTTTCGAGAGCGCTGACCAGTGGGAGCATCAAAAGGGTGAATAAGAGCAAGGGGAAATTTGTGGTCCCCAATCAGACATTTGGAAAGGAAGAGCAGCCGGTCAAGAATGACTTTGTCTTCTGTCAGCCAAATGAAGACATAGTCAAAGTGTGGAGAACCAAAGAAAAGGGGATTGCACCGAAGATAATCTGTGTGTTGGCACCAGTTGACCATTGATTCATAGTTGACATGAAGAAATCGGTGCTCTGTTATCTAGCACTCATATGTTAGTGTAGCCAATAAACAAGCTGAGATAGAATGTCCTACCTTATTGTTTCCTCGGAGATGAATATGTTTACCTTCAGGTAGTGGTATATCCAACAAGGGTAATAGAATATTAAGAAATTCATTGAGATTGATAAAACACTTGGTCATCCTGATGAAGTTTCTTGATCACATCAAAGGTCTCCGAAGGTTGTTTCAGTCCAAGTTTGATATGAAAGGAACTGTCAGTTGAGATAGGGTGCTCAACAACATGCGTGATGAAGTCTTCTTCCGACTCCAGCAAGTCATCTGCATGTAATTGATGTGGATGCTTGTCAAATTCAAATAAGTGACGATGGATATGATCTACAATGACTTGCCACTGATTGATTCAAAGGATCTGTCAAATAATATATCAAATTTAAGTTAGTAAACGATCATTGTAACAACACACCTGCTTTGCTATATCACAAAAGTTGGTCCACAGCAAATATGAATCCTTTAATGAGCCATGCATCTTCTCATTCGGCTTTGTATTGTATTTCCGTGTAGCTCCTTTTGCTTTAACATTGTCGAAAATATGTAGGTCCATGTGTAATTTTGGAAAATTCCAATTTTTTCCATTCTCATCGGCCATTTTGTCAATATATTGCTAATAATGAGTTGATTAGTTGACTATTGGTAGCAGTAAACACATGAAACATACATGCAAAATGGCCAAAAACATGCAGTGTGTATGACAGCCACTGCTAATAGTTTTGGCTGTGTGAACTTCAAGCGAGGCATACATATCAAGTTTGAGGTAAAGACGGACACAACAAAGGAGTAAATAACTGAGAGGACAGTCCTGCTCAGGTAGAATGTCATGAGTAGCATATATGATCATCTAGGAATATGTCAGACTCAAGCTAGTAACACGAAAGCTTGATACAAACCTTCAAAATGTCTTCATGCATGGAGTTGTCCATAAACGCAATGTTCATTACTTGGTTTGGGTGCTTCTGATCTCACCAACAAGGAAAAGCTTGATAGCTGTATTAAACTATGTCAATTCAACTTGAAATATTTCTGAAAAAAGCCTTACTTCTTATCTACTTGAGATATCTTGTTGTGTCCAAGACCATTGATATACTTCTGAAGCTCAACCCACAAGTGATCCAACCATTTGCCACCAGAGTGAAAGTGCAGTTTGTCCCATGACAGTGCACGATGCACATTTGTAGACTTCATTGTTCACAATGTGTTCTATGACAAGGTTAAAAGTGTGGCAGGAGAGTACAGATAAACTCACCAGGATATCACGAAGTCCGTACTCTTTTAGTATCTCCTCCCTCTCTTCTGCAGTTTCCTTTGCTCATGCAGTTGCTAGGATAGCCTGTGAGTCACAGGATGTGCGGCATGGATAGCAGTTTGATGTATCACTAAGTTTGTTGTGTGGTACCAAATAGACGGGGCATGGCCAAAGGGCCCTGACACCTTGAGTGAGTGACATCATAGACCTTGAAACACAGTGAGTTAGCAAGAGGCTAACATTGAAGTTCAAATCTTACTGCTCCTCAAAATCAGATGATAAGATTAGTATTAATGGAAAAAAACAGCGCTGAAGCCTATCTAAACACTTGAGCCATTGTCCCATATTGGATTTTGTCGCTAGCAAAGAGAGGATCCTTTCAAAGCACTTGTGTCATACCATGGCCTTGAAGTCGGCCCATGCTGGCTTGCCAGAGTGTTGCTTATCTTCCTTCACCTGTATGAATAGAATTAGTTCGAATCAGTGGACATAGCAAATGTATCAGACCACGGGAAGCCACCCAACAACATAACCACCACCCATCTCCTGATCATTGTGAATGTCAGTGGGTAAGTTGGCTAATCGCACAACAACAGGGTAGCCTTTCACAGTACTGAAACTAGATAATTTTGTCTTGTCAGCATACAAGATGAAGGCGAGGGGCTTTGCATCAGGCGGCAGTTGTGACTATACAATACATTGAAATTTAAATGCAATGAAAATCACTACATGTGGTACATTGACACAAATAGTACATACTTGAGCATCCCAGAAGTTTTGAACCATAAAGGGCTTGTCTACAAAGTGTTCAAATGACTGGCCATTGAATTTCGACAAGCATTGAGCGTTGAAATGAAAGTGAGGAAATAGATAAGGATTTTGGAGGTTGGTGGCCCACTCCCAAAGATCACAATAGTAGACATCAAAGTCCCAAGATGCATCAGCAAAGGGTATCAAAACTATGTCTTTCATAAACTGAGCTTAAATGTTAGTCCAATGAGAATCATACAGCAAGCAATGAGACAACCCCTGTTACACACTGAGAGGCCACATCCCACTTAGCATGGACATCCCTATGGTTCTGGAAAGTGAATTTCTCTGACTGCCATGCACAATGGTGGCAGATGTCGAGGAGACAGTCAGTCTGAGCATTATTAAGGGCTGTGTTAAGGTCGTACTCTCGTAGGATCGGATCCGAAGGACTTCGGCCTCAGCTCGTACGCTGTGCCCCTTTCCCAAGTACTGTCCCTTATTTCAGAGACTAACGATAACGCGTCCGAAGGTCCGGACGGGTCTCGTAGTTATATCCGGATGACTTCCGGATATCGGAAACACGTATAAGACTAATCCGGACGGATCCGGATTAGAAACAAACAGAGTATAGACTATCCGAAGATAGAGGCAGAGACGTAGACTATCAGAATCGATCCGAAGTCTCAGAGATCGACAAGAGTTGATTAGACTCAAAGTCCGGAGGACAGAAAGAGGACAAACTAAGATGATATTCGAACTGAGGTACTACAGGAAATATACACGGGTTTATATACTAAGAGGATAACGGAAGGATCAATAAGCAAAGGTCCGAGGCTATGTACGAAGCATATGCAAAGCTTATCAAACGCGAGTCGGAAATGAAGCATAGGATAACGGATCAGTAATCATACCGGTAATAAGTATAACCGAGACACCGGGAAGAGGAAATACCGAATAGGCTGTGTTTAACGTTATATGAACAAGAAATGAATTAAGAAGCTTATCGGATATCGGACCGGACGCGGATCTATGCATCGGACCGGACCGGATCTAAGGGTCCGAAGTCCGGAAGAGAAGCGTGAATATATGGGATATGACAGTATCCCCCCCTTAGGGCCGATCCCTAGAGGCACAAGAAGCATCGGTCCGGACCGGACGAAATTAATGCGAGATGATGGAGAAGTCGATGGGGGGAGTTTCTGAGTTCGGAATCGGACAGATATACACAAGGTCAGACGTCCAGGATCGATTCTTCCTTTCCCACTTTTTCACTCTATAACGCTCTATCAGATATGTCTGGCAACACCTCCGGATCTCAGAAAACTGCTAAGCAGAAACTTCTGGAGCTTCAACAGCAAATAGCGGACGCGGAAATTGCGGCTTGGATAGAAGAAGAAGAGAATCGGAAACGTCAGGAGGCGGAACGGAAATGCCAGGAGGAATTGCGGAAGATTAAGGAGGCTGAGAGTCTTGTAGCAGCGGAGGAGAAAAGACGCAAGGAAATAGTAGCGGAAATGGTGAGTTTCGGATGGATATGGTGGATTTCTCTAACGGATTGAAAGACTCGTGCTATGTCTGCGGAAAGGGACGGATCCTGCGTGCGTTGTGCTAACAGGGGATGGACTTGTCTTTGGACGGATGCAGAGGGCAACGCTCAGGTGAGTCGTCCGGATACTTCGGATCCGGGTTTTTGACGTCCGGATAGATCAAGTCTTGCGATATCTGCTGGAAGGACAAGGCTACATGTCCCGGACGACCCGGAACTGTCAAGGTGTCCAAGGGCAAGAAGAGAAAACATGCTGCCGGATCTCCATCTCCGAAGGGCAAAGGTAAGAAATGCCAGAAGAGTCCGACTCCGGAAGATCCGGAAGAGATGGAGGAAGAATACGATGACCAGGCTTGGGTGGCTGCGGCCAACAATAGTGTCGGAACTGGCTCGGACGAACGCACTTTTGGAGAGGAGCATTCAGGCAGCGGAAGGCAGCAGGGCTGCAGTGGACCGGATGAGTTCCGGAATTGAGTTGTTCCTTCAGCAGCAGAGGGAATTTCAAGCCATGCTATTCGGACACATCCGGAAGGGGTTTCGGACGACTTCGGATCCGGATCCGGAGGATGAAGTGATGGATAAGGTGTCCGAAAGTGAAGATGGCGGATCCGGAGAGGCGGATGGGTCTATGGAAATGTAGGATTTTCTGGTCCGTTTCTGTTTCTTCCTTAAATGTACTTATATCTGTATACACATCATGTACTTCAAAGTTGAATAGGACCGGGTTTGTTCGGATATGCTGAGTGGAAGTCCGATACTAGTTCGGATGCGTTTCCGAGCTCCGTTGCAAGCAACCATGAAGTTTCCTCGTCCGTTCCTTCATATCCAGACCATCGGACGAGGTATAGGAGTTGACATTGTCTTCTCCGACGGTCTAACTTGGAGTCTAGGATTTCGGATATCTCATATTCGGGTTCTCCGTCGACTTCAATCAGAGGCGGGGGTGGTTGGATACGATTAGGAATAGTGTTCAAGGATGCTGGTTCTAATTGCGAGACATGGAAAACTGGATGTACGGAGCGCATGGAATCCGGAAGTCGGATGGTGAAGGAGTGCGTACCCGGACGAGCTATGATTTCGAACGGACCTAAGTTCTTTTCCGAGAGTTTCTTGGACGGACGGGTGGAACGGAAGTATTTTGCTTTGACGAAGACCGGATCTTTGATTTTCAGATCCGGAGCGGGTTTCCGTTTGGCGTCCGCAGGACCTTGATATCTTTCTTGTGCGTGAGCCATTTCTTCTCGGAGGAACTGATGTAGTTCGTCAAGGTCTACTGCATAGTCTCGTGCGCGGGCGGAGGAGAGATCACGTTCCGGATGAACGGACAGGTTCAGATGATATCCCTTATTGGCAAAGAAGGGTGATACTCCGGTAGTGGCACTCGGAGTGTTGTTATAAGTGAATTCTGCCAAAGGAAGTAGTTCCGACCAGTTATCCTGCTGATAGTTGCAGTATATCCGGAGATATTGTTCTAGGGTTTGGTTGGCTCGTTCGGTTTGTCCGTCTCCTTCCGGATGATATCCGGACGTGAAGTGGAGGACCATATCTAACGCTTTTCCTAAGGACCGGAAGAAATGCGATACAAATTCTGTCCCTCGGTCCGAAGTGACATGGGATGGAACTCCGTGCTTGGAAAACACGTGGAGGACGAACAGGTGAGCGAGGTCCGGAGAGGTAATGGTGTCGTGGGTGGGGATGAATATGGCTTGTTTCGATAGACGGTCTATTACGACGAGGATGGCTGTAAAGCCGGATGAATCCGGAAGATGCTCTATGAAATCCATGGAGATGGAATTCCAAGGTTTTTCCAGTATGGGTAACTGCTTTAGCAATCCGTATGGTTTATGTCTCGGAACCTTAGCTCGGCCACAGGTAGTACAGGACTTGACATAGTCCTTGACATAAGTACGTATTCCTGGCCAAGTATACTCGCGTCGGATGAGGTCTAGTGTCCGATTTTGACCGAAATGTCCGGACAAGGGGTGATCATGAGTATTTCGGAGGACGCGAAGTCGGAGGTTATTGGATTCCGGAACATATATACGGTTGTTGCAGCGGAGGAAACCACTATCGTCTACCGTCCATCTCGGATCCGAAGGTTCCGGAAGATGATTGGACGCGATAGGGTCATTGGGAAGTGCGGTCAGGATGTCTTTCCGGAGCTGGTCGATATCTATCAGAACGGCTGCCCTAAGAACCGGAGTTGCTAAGGTTGAGGCTCGTAGGGACGAAGCTAACTGTTCCGAAGTGAATACCGGACGGAAATTATGAGGGTTAACTCGAGCGTAGTCCTTATCCCCCTCTTTAGGGTAGATGTCCCAGTGTCTAGTAAGGGAATCTGGTTTAGCTCTGAGTTTTCCGGGACGGAAACGGATGACGAGATTGAACTGATGGAGGAATTCCGACCAGCGGGCCTGACGGCGAGAGAGGAGTTTTGTGGTAGAGAAGTACTCAAGGTTCTTGTGGTCCGTGACAACGTCTATCGGCTCGGCAGAGCCTTCAAGGTAATGTCGCCACGTCCGAAAAGCTTCATGGATGGCTAGAAGTTCCTTATCGTGAGTGTCGTAGTTGAGTTCCGGAGCGGTAAGCGTCCGAGAATAAAAGGCTACCGGACGAAGCTCTGAGTCCGGACATACTATGGAAAGTATACCGGCTATAGCGTAATCAGAGGCGTCGGTTTCTACGACTATCGGAACATTCGGAATCCAGTGCGTAAGCACCGGAGCGGACGTGAAAGCTTTCTTGAGTGTTTCAAAAGACTTCCGACAATCATCGGAAAAGTCCCAAGTAACCCCCTTGCGGGTAAGACGGGTGAGCGGAACTACAATATCCGAGTAATTGAAAATGAATCGATGATAGAAATTTGCGAATCCGAGGAAGGATTGAATATCCTTAACTTTCCGAGGTTCCGGCCAATCGACAATGGCCTGGACCTTCTCGGACGACATGGTCAAGCCGTCCGGAGATAGGAGGTAACCAAGGTATTCAACGGATGTGGTGTGGAACGCGCATTTTTCGGGTTTAGCATAGAGTCGATGTTTTCGGAGACGGAGGAGAACTTCTCGGACATGTTCCTTATGGGATGCAAGGTCTTGGGAATAGATGAGGATGTCGTCCAGATATACGATAACGCATACATCCAGCATATCAGCAAACACACTATTGACAAAGCATTGGAATGCGGCCGGAGCGTTAGTGAGACCTTCCGGCATCACCAACCATTCATAAGAGCCATAGCGCGTTCGGAAAGCAGTCTTCCATTCGTCTCCTTCCGCTACCCGGACAAGGTGATAAGCGGATCGGAGGTCGATTTTGGTATATACTTTAGCGCGGCTCGGAGAGTCTAGAAGGTCGGTAATGAGGGGTAACGGATATCGGTCTTTCTTGGTAATCTGGTTAAGTCCACGGAAATCTACACAGAGGCAAAGGGAGCCATCCTTTTTCTTGACGAACAGGACGGGAGCTCCGTGAGGAGAGGATGAGGAACGGAGGAGTCCGGAGGAAATGTTTTCATCAAGAAACTTCTGGAGGGCTGTGAGCTCAACTGCAGATGAAGAATAAATGGTTCCGAGGGGCGGACTAGTTCCTTCCTCTAACTCGATTTTGAGATCGTAGGGACGATGAGGAGGAAGTTGGCTAGCTTTGCCTTTATCGAACACATCCGAAAATTCAT